CCAACCACTACGTCATCCACCAGCCCCTCTCTGTTTGTAAACAGTAGGTCTAGTGGGGCCTTACCCCTGGTAGGCTCATTTACCAGTTGACGAAGGAAATTATCCTCTATACACTCCAGGAACCTCCTTGACTGCCTCTTCTCTGCAGTATGAAGCTCCCAGCAGATATCCGGCAGGTTAAAATTTGCTGACATCTGATTTGGTTTTTGTATTTGCTAGATGTATGGTGAACCATAAGCTTCAGCAAAAAATCATAGAGCAGATGAAAAAGAGTATTCATTGCTTCACCAGACACAGCATTTACATGACTTCCTCAATTCACATATGTAATTTTTCTGCAAGTTCCTTTAAGCATGTGAGTCTTTGGGGTGTAGTATATATACTGGTAAGATAAGACTAAGGTTTGCATGACTGATCTTCTGAGACTTTTGGGAAGAATACAGTTTATTCTTCATCTTTGGCTTCTAACAATAAAAGAAACTAGTGGCAGATTCTGTCAGAGCCCTTGTCTTGAACGAAAAGACATTTTATTTCTTTCCCTGGGTCTTTGTTTTTTGAAGATCCAGTGAACTAACTTAAACAAGATTTTAAAAATCAAAATTGTAACAAAGTGAGGCAAAGCTTTAAAGAATCAATTTCCAGAAGAAGAGGAACTTCAAAATCAAGAATTGGGCATTGATATTCCTAACTTCGTGAAGAAACTCCAGTTTTGAAAAAGTCAGTTTTCTCATACCTTTGTATGGGGATGTGATCTGTAAAATGATACTTACCTGTCAAACAGATAGTTTGATTTCTGGTTTCTAATATAATTTTTCTGTGTATATTGTCTTGAATCTATTTGAATACTTTCCATTGGACACCTATCAGGTGCATCTGGCTCTTCTTTGGTTGGTGTCTAATGTCATAACTCTTTGACAGTAGGCGAGAGACACTGTCCTGCTTGCAAATAGGAGCTGTTTCTCCTATTCCAGGGATCATCAGGAATGTCTGTAGCTGAAACATTAATTTTCCCAGTGCTTCTCTTTTTGTACACCTGCTAATTCTACAAGTTAATTCTTCAGTGACTTGTGACAACTCAAGCAAACCAAAGATCCGCATACTTCAGTCAGCAAAGGAGCGATATGTTGGCACTTCTTACAGGTCCTGATCCTGCTTCTCTTCCTTTATTGTCTCAGGATTTTCTTAGGACTGAGGTTTCTGTATTTTTGAGAGTTTGTGTTTCCTTTGGACCACATTGCTTGTTCTTGCATTCAGTGTCCATCATGTCAGCTCAAAGAGATAGATGCTACTTTTAAAAAACTATACCAAGAACTGATCTTTATGTGTTCTGTGTCCTAGTTAGAACAGCTGGGCCCAGTTCATCACTGGATAGGTGTAAGCCAAAACTGTGTATTCTATAGCCTTCCATGCCATTTCCCAGAAACTGTTGTCAATAGACTATTCACACCCTCTGCCCAGAGCAGCCTGACTCCTCAGGCTATAAACTGGGTGTTAAGAGGCCTGTGAGATAGAAGGGTGTTTTTGTCCTCACGCCCATTGAGGAATCCCTTGCCCTGAGGGAAGTACTGAGCATTCCTGCCTGAACTGGAGAATATATAATCTTGGACTCTTGGGACCTTTTTTAACCACTCCAGAGGAAGACTGCAGATCACCCGCTCTCAACCAGACTGCAGACCACCACTCTCGACTGGACTGCAACCACTGCTTTTCAACCAGACTGCAACCATCACTCTCGACCGGACTGCAACAGCACTCTCACCAACAGGTTTTTCCCTCTCCTTTTCCTTTGGACTCAGGGGGCCCAAAGAACACCACTCTGTTCATGCCCCAGAGTGCTGAGTTATATATTTGGGTTTTGTGGGTTAAAACCAATTGTTTGTCTGTATAATTGTACTTATTGTATTATTTTATTAAATTGTTATTCTGACTTATAATCTCTCTTTTGAGTTGAGTTCATTTCCCCTGCTGGTTTACCTTTAAACCAGCACATTTTGTTAGAGAGAATCTGATTACTCCAGTTTTTAATTCTTTCATATGCCCTCATTCAAGCTATTTTTTCTTATTTCTTTTTTTATTTTTCATCTTTAGACTGATAAAATCTGACAAGTCTAGGGGGTTCCATTTGAGGGGATAGTAAACCATTTTGATGGTGTTTTCCAGCTCTGGTTTCAGCTGAAGAGAGGCTGAGATGAAGGCACAGTTGTACTTTGGAGAGGTGCTCAGGAAATAAAATGATATTTAGAAGTCAAATTCAGTACAAAGTACTAAATGTGAATTAGTATGTTGTTCCTGAAAACTTTACATGTGGAATCACTTTTTTCATTTCAGTGTTTACTTTAAGAACAGACACTTGAACAAACCAGACAAAGACAAAAAAAGTGTTTTTGCTCTTTAGAGTATGCAGTGAAATATTTTCAGTGAAGTTTCCATTTCTTCATTTAATTTTTTTAAAAATTATGTTTCCCACTCTAAATGTTGTAATAGGTACCTTCCTCACTGTTTCCTTTATCTTCTCATCAAGCTTAAAATAGAATTACTTTTAGATGGAGTTGTTAAATGTTTAAAAAAAAATGAAATCCACATATATTTATTGTTGACTGACCACTTTTAATAGGCTGGCATTATTTTTGAGTAAAAACATCCTGTTGGCAGATGTTCACCTGTTGGAGGATGCTAAGGAGTCCTTCTAAACTAAAGCAGGAGGTAGTTTGCTGATTCTTCACTAGGGGCAAAGCAGATTAGGATGTTTAGAAGGAATAGAGCCTAGACAATATTGAGAGTCTTAAGCAAGTTATTTTTGAAAGAGTCACAGAATGAGTAAGGTTGGAAGGGATCAGACAGTTCTTGAATATCTCCAGTGAGGGAGACTCCACAACCTCTCTGGGCAATCTGTTCCAGTGCATGGTCACCCTCACAGGAAAGAACTTCTTCCTTGTGTTCAGGTGGAACTTCCTGTGCATCAGTTTTTGCCCATTGCTTCTTGTCCTGTTGCTCAGCACTGCTGAGAAGAGCCTGGCTCCATCCTCTTGACACCCTCCATTCAGATACTTGTACACATTGATGAGGTCCTCTCTCAGTTGTCTCTTCTCAAGGCTGAACAGGCCCAGCTCCCTCAGCCTTTCTTCATAAGAGAGATGCTTCAATCTCTTAATCATCTTTGTGGCCCTCTGCTGGACCTGCTCCAGGAGCTCCATGTCTCTTGTACCGAGGAGCCCAGAACTGGACACAGCACTGCAGATGTGGCCTCACCAGGGCTGAGTAGAGGGGCAGGATCACCTCTGGTGACCTGCTGGCAATGCTCTTCCTAAGGATCCCATTGGTCTTCTTGGCCACCAGGGCACACTGCTGGCTCATGGACAGATTGTTGTCCACCAGGACCCCCAGGTCCTTCTCTGCAGAGCTGCTCCCCAGCAGGTCAGCCCCCAGACTGTGTTGGTGCCTGGGGTTATTCTGTCCCAGGTACAGGACCCTACACTTGCCTTTGTTGATTTTCAGGCAGTTCTCTACCCGTCTCTCCAACCTGTTGAGGTCCTTCTGAAGGGCACCACAGCCCTCTGGGCTTTGTGTCATCAGTGAACTTGCTGAGGAGGCATCTGCCCCTCCAAGTCACTGATGGAGAAGTTAAACAATAATGGGCCCAGCATTGAACCATGAGGGACAGTGTTGGTTACAGGCCTTGAGCCTCTGGTCAAAACCCTCTGGGATCTGCCATTCTGATGATTCTTAGTCCACCTCACTGTCCACTCATCCAGCCCACTCTTCCAGAGTTTGCATTATGATGATGTCATGGGAGACTGTCAAAAGCCTTGCTGAAGTCCAGGGGAATGGCATTCAGTGCTTTTCCCTCATCCATCCAACCAGTTGCACCATTGTAGAAGGCTTTCAGGTTGCTTAAGCAGGATTTCCCTTTCCTAAATCCATGCTGACTACTCCGGTCACTTTCTTGTCCTCCATGTGGACAGACATGGCCTCTAGAATGAAGCCACTCAATCATCATTCCAGGGATTGAGGTGAGGCTGACTGACAGGTAGGTCCCAGGGCCCTCCTTCTTCCTCTTTTTGAAGACTGGGGTGACATTCTTATTTATGAGAATAATCTTAGTGTTATGAAAGTACAGTGGGAGTATTTGTGCAGGATTTGTGCATTTTTTTATTGCGTTAAACAGATAAAACTCATGGCAGGAGGCAAAGTTTAAGCCTTTTGACAGACCTTAGTACGGAGTAGGTTTGGTAAGCTCTTATGCTGTTGCTGATCTTTTCTTTAATAGGTCTTCCATGGATATCAGTTTCAAAAGTATTTCCTTTTTTTGTGTATGTGATTATACAAAGTTTAATTTATTGCCAGGAGCTTTTATTTTAAGATCTGCTAATGTTTCTCTTCTTTTAAATGTACAACATGAACTCTCACATACTTACTAATTTGTTTTACTTTTCCAAAATCAATAACTTAGTGCTTTAAAACATTACAGAGTTCAGAAATTTTTGTTGTAGGGAAACTGTGACTAGTCTAGAGCTGCAAAGCACTCTGTTCTGGGCACCTTAATTGGAAATCAGGTGCCAGAGCCAACATATTTTTGAAGAATCTTCTCTGTGCTTCATATCTCATTTATGAAATTTTAAATGCTTGATTGATGCATCATTGTATTTTGGAACATACAGAGTGTGGTTATGTTGCCTGAGGTGAGCAAATAGTAAGGGAATAGGTAGAATATTTAACTTGATCTTTCCACTTGCTGACCCTGGCTGCAGTTTTCTTGATTATAAAAAATGCAGGAATAACATAATGCTACATCAATTTATTTACCTCAATAGAAAATATTAATTTAATATTCTATATATGTAAAAATTATTTATATATGTATTTTTTGGTATGGGTTTTCACAGTGCCAAAGTGCAAGCAGTTCAAATGTATCAGGTTGCTGTATGAATGAGCAGAATTGAGCAGACTTTGTCATGTTATCATCTCTCTGGACTTAAATATCCTCAAAATGGTACTTTTAGGCAGCTGCAGTGAGAACAAAGGAACTGGAAGAAAGCATTGAAGCAGAGAGAGCAGCACATTTAGAATCCAATTTCACTTCAAAGATCATCCAGGTAAACTTTTTGGTAAATATTTTGTTCAAGTTTACAGTAAAACAGTTGAAGTTTTGAAGGTACAGTGCTTCAAAAATGTTAAGACCATTTACTTGCTCCAGTGAAAACACTGAATAGATTTTTTGCAATAAGTGTCAGAATTGTAAAGACTAATATATGAAAGGAGAGAATAGAAGAATATCTGCTTTTCAGGGAACTTTAAAGTTATTAGAATAAATAATAAAATACGTCAGATTTGTAAGTTTGAGAATTCCCACTAGCATTTAAACAGTGAGGGAAAAGGCAATGTTTCACAATAGTTAAGCACTATACTACTGTTTAAATATCCTGCCCCGTATCTTTTGAATGGGCACTTAGAGCAATTTGGACATACAGTGCATACATCTAGCTTCTTGAGGAGTGTGAGTTATATAATTACTCAGAGTACATTTGAGCCTCAAAGTTATGATATCTAGACTTACCAGTAAAGATGGATTAAATGAATAAATGTAGTATATATGCTACATATTAAGTTCTTGTATTAAACTGTATCACACAGTGTCTAACCCAATAAAGCAATTATGGTTTATTTAAAAATTTTTTTGAGAAAGATAAATGGTGATTGCTTAGTACTAACAAGCCCTTCACACTGGACTTTTGAAAAATTAAGCAAAAAAAAAAAGGGAATTTTGGTATATTTTTCTTCTATTTTCTGAGTAACAAAAATAGGTATTGCCATTATTCCGTCAGTTATTTTCTCATTTTCATGATCTTCTGTATTTATAGGCACTTAAATTTTAAAAGTGATGATTCAAGTAGTAGAAAAGATTTAGTTTCTTTTATTTCCTCTCCATTTTTGCAACATACAAAGGAACTGGGAGGATAACATTCTTCAAATGAGAGACCTGTCATTTATGGGTGAATAACTGATGAATTTTTCTTCCTTGTTTGTATACATGAACAAGCTCAAAGTGTGCTTTATTCTGAGAGGAAGTGTAGCCCTTACTGTTAGTCCCACACTTTCATGTCTATTTAAAAAACAGAATTCTACTGGAAAAATTGAGGAAAATGGGAAAAGCCAGACACTTCCAAATGAGAACAGAAGGTACTTTTGGTTAGCATATCTATTGTCTCGGTTTTGAACTTTATGTATTCCTACATTTTTACACATGTTCAAAGTTTTTATGTGTGTATAGGCTTCTATGTAGAATTAATAGAATATAGACTCCTGTAAAGCAAAACAGTCCAGCATTAAAGATCGTAATCTTTCCTAACTTGCTTTAATTGCTTTCTTATCACTTGGTAGTTAAGAATTCAAGAACTTGAAGAAGCTGTGCATGTGGAAAAATACAGACGAGCTGAAGCTCTTTCAGATTTAGAAATGATCAGGAAAGAGTTCAAAGAGTTAGAAAATGCATATGAGAGAGAAAAACACAATGCCCAGGAGAACTTGGAAAAACTCAATGAGTAAGTTTCCTTTTAAATTCTTTGTAAAATAGCATTAGGCAGCTTGATTATCAATTATAGTTTACATTTTGTGTAGTGTTCAGTCAGTATAAAACAACAGAATCTGATGTAATTTCCCAAACCAAACCAAGGTTCAGAACCTGATGTTCCAATAAGAATAGGTCCATATCAGTAAGCATACATAGTATAGATTGGTAAATAAAGTAACTGATCTGTTACTGATTATTTACCAAAGCAGAAATGTTGAAAATGATAGTAATAATAGGGTCCTGTCTCCTGTATGTTTGGTAGGAGTGTGGGAAAGCACACGCAGCAGGGTTGGAACGGATCTTTTTTCTTCTGTATAAACTTACATTATTATGAAAATACTATTTTTCAGTGAGCTAGATGAATCTTTCAGAGTCCTACCTAGAAGTTGTGTGTAATTTATAGTGGATTGTCTTCATTTTCAGCTTTTGAATGATGGTGGGAAGTTTTAACTAGGTAACAAAACTAGAAAAAGGAATTAAGTGTATGAGAGCAGATGAAATTACATGGGATTCCTTTATACTCAGCACAATCTGCTGTGTCTGTGGTAGTAGATGGTTTCTGGAAGAATGGCTTTGCTACATTCCCCTGGCAGATATAGGATGCACTGTACTGAGTCTTATTCCTTGGCTGAACCAAGTTTATATTGGGGTGAGAAAATGTCAGGAAGAAGAATGGTGTTGGAAGACACAGAACTGAGGAGTTGGTGAAATAAAGGATAGCAATTGGTTAAATTTAGGGAAAGAGGGAGTTTAAGAAGACATAAAGTGGGTGGAATACAGTAGGGGTGTGGGAAGAGACTCAAGCTAGTAGAATGGGTTGGAAACGACAGAGTTGGCATCTCTTTCAATCTAGGATTATGCGGGTCTGTACACAATGGTATTTATGGTGACTTATTCATAAGAACAGTAGTGGAGAAAAAAGAAACTGGTTTCCCTACAAAAAAGGAAGTTTGTGGCCTGAGAGAGTCTTTCTATACTCGTGTTTACAGAGATGTTTTTAGTTACATAGTTGAAACGTGCTGTATTATAAACACCTTAAAGCTCTTCATTAAAATAAGATCAAAAGAGGTCTGAATGTAAGATTGTGCATTTAGGTAAACCAGAGTGAAAGTGAAAACTTTTTTCTCAAAGAAAAAGAAATAGTTTTTATGATAAAAATTTGGGAAAATGTATGAAATACATTATGATAGTAATCTAAAGTGATGCTTCAGGAAGACTGCAGTCTTCACAGGTGGGAAACCGAGTATGTGTATTTCAAGATTCTCTATTGTCCTGAAATAACGTCAGTTAATTAAACTGTAATCTTATCCTGCCTGGTTGTTTTTGCTTTGAGCATGAGTTCTCTGTCAGCAAATATATGACACTAAACTGATACCAAATTCTTTGCCTTTTCTTGAACTGGAGAAGGCCTATACCATTGACTTGACATTTTATTCCTTCTTGGTTGCTTGGTTTTAAAAAAGCTCCTTTGTGTTCAAAACAGCCATTTTCAGAGGAATGGCTGTTGCATCACTAGTTTTACTGACTACTTTTACAGGCTGCTTTCCACTGTCTGAGTTTTTCTGGTAGCTAACTTCCGATTCTTACACAGAATATGGACTATTGTTCTTTTTTTCTTTTTGTTATAGTTTTTTTTAGTTTTTAGTCTGGTCTTGTGGCTTTTTTTTTTTTCTGGTAGGTTTCCATATTTACATGGTACAGAAAATATGAAAAAATTGATGTTACAGAAGTTTTCTTGAACTACATTCTTCCTGTGTTTGTTCTTGAACCACTTCTTCACTTCTCCCAAGGTCTAATGTTCCAAGGTTCATCTGTGTATTTGAGGTTAGATTAGCCAAATTCATCATCCTCAAGTGAAACATGGAGCTTCTTTAGGTTTTTTTTTGTCTAATGCTTGTTAAGCTGGAGTAGTTTTCAGTCTAGAAAAAAAATTGTCGTCTTTTCAACATGACTGCCATAGCATCACTTTCTGTAGTAAATCAGGGAGCTGTTAGTGTGAATATGTTCTGAAAATCAAGAGATGATTACAGAGATAAAGTATAAGCTAATTAGCAGCATTTTTAATAGTAGCTTAAACATCTGTTGAGGAATTTTCCAAACCATTTCCAAAAACAAGATGTGTTTTTTAAATTTTAAAATCTGTTTTTTAACTTTTTTGGTTAAAAACTGTGAACATCCATAAGTAGTAATTTTCCAATTAAGTCTTTGAGAAACTCTTAAAGACATTTTTCTGTATTAGATTATTCAGACCAATGTAAGGATAATGGTTAGATATTGAATTGCATTGTGCATTCAATAATGTTTTGTTCCTTGTGAGAATATTTTATCTACATGTATAAAGCTATTTCTTTGAGAACTGAAGGGATTTATTTCTAGGATATTTTTAATGCACAAAAGTTATACTTTTGAAAAATGCGAAGAAATCTTAAACAAAAACCTTACCCTCAAAAAAGAAAAAGAGAGGGTTTTTTAAGGCACTTGATATGGTTTGAAGCTGGCTCCCTGCCAAGTCTCCAAACCTTACCACAAGAAGTCCCATCCCCACCCAAACCTCAGGGAGAAGAGGGAGAAAAACAACTAAGAAAAACCGAAACGAGAGAGAGAGCTAAAGCAATATATATATAAATATATTTACACTTATGTTACAGTTATATACAATTGAAATATATATACAATTTCACAAGGGAAAGGGAAGGGGGAAGGGAAAAGGAACAAAACCAAAATAAAATATATATATATATATATATGTATATATATATATATCCTGATTAGTAGCCCAATATCTAGCAACTAGAAGAGTTAGCAAAGAAATATCTCACTACTCTCCTTGGGACAGCCGAGAGTCGCTCTGGAACGACCACCGGCAACCTCCGTCTCCCAAGGTCGACAAGGCCTTACCAGGCCTCGCTCCCCAACACGAGAGACTCAACAGCAGGGAACCTGCACCTCCAAGCTGCCGGAAGGAAAGAGAGCGAAGGCCTCTCCTCCTTTCTTCTTATAGCCCAGCTTACATAAAAATCGTAGGGAATACTGGGTAAATCTGGACCCTTCCTTGGTTACAAACTGGTCACCAAGGAAGGCCTAGACCAAACTTCCACAGCACTGTATTTCATTGTTTGGAATTCCTGCACAAAATACTTGAATATGTGTATTTTTTGTGGCTAAGACTATGAAATACAGTTTTTACAATTATGATAGCATTTGCCATAGAAGTGTCAATATTACTGCTTACAGAGAAGTAAGTACTTGTGTTTCTAAAATACAACATGAACCTTAAAAAACCTTACCTTCTTCCTCTAAAGAGGACAATTATGTTCAACGTTTCTTTGCCCTATCTTAGGGAGGTTTTTGGTATAAAACAGAATTTATGCCTGCTTGGAGCAACTGTTCTGTGTTAACTGGATATGAGAACAAATGTTGCCTAATATCCAAACAGTACTTTTCACTACTTGCAATCATGTGTTGATTCAGGCAATTATTCCTAGCGACTTTTGCCAACTGAGTTTTTGAGAGCAAATTGTCCTTTGTAATTTCAGAGAATGCAAACACAGTTAAAACACAATTAAAACAGTTAGTGGTTTTGTTAACAGAACTTGAAGAAACATGAACAGACTATCCTTAAAATTTTGTTAGTCCAGGCGCCTAGATTTCCAGACCTCTTTAAAGATAGGTAGTGAAGGTCAAGCTTTCTCTGAGGTGGACATTAATCTACTCAGTTCTCTTGAGGTAATTATGTGGGGTGGGCATGTACTGACTCATCAGTTTCCTGTGCCCTTATTATTCTTTGAAGCATACAAGTCTCAGTAACGCTGGTGAATATCAGTGATTGCTTTCACCAGACACCTTCAGAGAGAATACAAGAGCCTTTGATCTACTTACCTTTGAAGGCTCTGGTCCTTGGACTTCAGACAATGTCAGGATCTTGGCTTTTTCTTTTAAGCCATAGTTTGGCATCCAAACATATTTTCTCTTTTTCTAGAGGAGTTGCACGAATTTGTCTTTAAGCCTTAGCCAAATAAAAGTATTAGAAACTTTCATTTGTTGTGCTAGAACACTTGTGTATCTCTTTAGCTGGACTTGATGTACGTAAATAATACCAAAGTTGGAAGCTTTGTAATGCTATGAGAATTTATTTTCTCAGAAAAAAAGTTAGTTGTGATAACTGAAACCAAGCAAACGGGCTTTTCTGGGTTGCATAATTTTTTCTTTTCTCACAAAAAAAGATAATCGTAATAACTAAAACCAAACTAACAGGCTTTTCTGGGTTGCATAATTTATTAATTAGCTCTGAACCCAGTAGCACTATTTAAATTGGAAGCAACATGGGATTTGGGTCGCTGTGTGAATTAACTTTTCAAGAAAAGTGAGAGCATGACATAGAATAATTTGGAACTGCTTTTGCTGTTTTTCCAAAAACTGTGAGAGTAGAAGCTATTTTGGGGGGCTGAAACAGGCAAGTTCTAGAAGAACAAGAAGTAACCATCTACAGCTAATTCCAAAAATCAACCAGGCTGATGCAGAAGCACATAGGTATTTGGAGGACTATTTGAAACAGTCCTTCAGCTAAAAAGACACATTGATCTATAAGGAATAAATCAGAGTCAGAAAGTGACAATACTGATTCAAAAGCTTCAAAGTTGGAAGAACCTTGAGCCTGTTGTGTTACTTTCAGTTCTAGTGAGACAGGAGTGATAGGAGAAGAGAAAAGGAATGAGTGAGACCTGGGTGTTTCTACTGCTGAGAGTTACATCAAGGATTAGTTGAGGTTGAAAGGAATTGCAGAAGATCTGTAGTCCAGCTTGCTGCTCAAACGAGGATTAGTTATGAGATCAGACTGCTCAGGGTTTCATCCAGTTAGGTCTTGAAAACCTGGAGAATGGCGGTGACACAACCTCTCTGGGAACCTGTTCCACTGTTTAATTGTCATTATGTTGGAAAATGTTTCTCCTTGGCTGAACCACTTTGGATTCTGTTCTTGTTCTGTAGCCAAACATTGCAGTGAAGTGACTGGCTGCATCCTCTTGATAATCTCCTTTTAGATATTGGGGGGCCTGTTACAAACCCCGAAGTTATCTCCTCTCTGGGTCGAACATACCAAGTTCCCTCAGTTCTTACATGTATTTCAGCCCCCGAGTATGGTGATGGACATCTCCTTAGCCCGCTCCAGCTTTTCTCCTGTGTTAGGGGGAATATGTGTAGTTAAAACTGGTCATTGGCCTAGACATGTTATAATGAGTGCCAAATAAAAGGTGATTACTCACTTCCCTTGATCTGGCTACGCTACTATTAATACAGCCCAGGTTGCTGTTAGCTCTCTCTACTTGTATGCCATGCTGCTGATTTGTGGCTGTGTACCATGGTTACCATGCCCTTTTTGAGCATAGCTGCTCCCCAGCCAGTTACCAGCCACATCACTTGCTTCCTAAATTCAGGTCTTTGCACTTGTCATTGTTGAATCTCAGAAGGTTCATGCTGTCCTGTTCTTTCTCAATGTCTAGAGAACAGCAGCTCTTCTGTTGAGTATATCAATTGTATTGTGTCATGATCTACTCACGCCCAGTTCACTGTTACCCGCAGGCTCTGTGAGATTGCCCTCTTGGCCTAATTCAGGTGATGAATGAAGCTGTTAAACAGATTGTAATACAGACTCCTACAGTATGGCACCTCTTACTGGCTACTACCATCTGAGCTTTATCATCAAATCATTTTTTATCAGTGTTGTAGTTCACATATCTACACTGAAGTTCTAATTTAGCTATAAAAATACTCTGTGAGAAAGTGCTAAAATCCTTGCTATAGGAATCTGCTTGCTCTCCTTTTGTCTATAGAGCTGATCATTTTATCATGGAATATAACTGGGTTGGCCAGACGTGATTAAACCTTTGTAAATCCTCCCTGTGTTCCCAATCATCTTTGTTTCTTTCATGAGCCCAGAAAATTGTTACAAAAGGACTTGCTTCATAACCTTCCAGGGACTGAAATGAAGCAAACTGGTTTATAGTTCCTTGGCTTCTCCTTTTGCCCTTTGCCGAATGTCTGTGTGACATTTGCCTTTCTCCATTTGCCATGGACCTCCCCCAATTTTTGACCTTTCACAGCGATAATGAGCAATCTCACTGTGACATTGGCCATCTTTGTCAGAACCTTTGAGTGTAGGTGAACTGGCCTTTTCAATTTCTATGGGTTGGGTTCTCACAAGTTATCCCAAACTCAATCCTCACCTACTGCTAGCAATTATTATCCTTTTTGAGCCCTTTTACTGATTGTAGAGGCTTGGGAGGAGACCTTGTCAGGGAAGACTGAGGCAAGAAAGGCATTGAGTGTAGTAACCTTCTCTCTCTGCTGTCTAGAAGCCTGTCCATGTTTTCTTTCCTACCTTAACAGAGTGGTAAAATCTCTTCTAGTTGTCTTTGTCATCTTTTGCAAAAATTAATTCTAGGTGACTTTTCTGATACCAGCCCTACATACTCAGGCAGTCCTAAATTTTTCCTTCGATTCCTGTCCCTGGCTGTGTGCTCTATACAATGTTGTTTGACCTTGTAGTTTTCTCATGAGTTGCCTTTTTTATCCATGCCAGGCTTTCTGTATCATTTGTTTTCCTGAGTACCAGGAGGACTGATACAAATAAGAGCTGTTTGAAAATTTGGATACGCTGCTTTTGAAGTCATGCCATTCTGAGTGGAATTGTCATGGTTTAGGAATGGTATTTCCCAATTTAGTGTTCCCACTGAAACACTCCAAACCACATGCCCCTGCCCACCCCCAGTGGGCTGAAGAGAAGAATTGGAGGCACAAAACATAAAGATCACAGGTTGAGATAAGAACAATATACTGGAAACAGCAATGAAATAAGACAACAAACTGTAACAGCAGCAAGTACTAATGACAGAGTGTACCGGAAAAAAAAAAAGTGAATGATTCATATGGAATTGCTCACTATGGAAGACCATGACCATACCTTACCATTCCCTCTGCCAGGGAAGGGAGCCCTTCCCTGTTTCTGGAAGATGAGGTGAGGTGATATAGGATAGCCTTCAGGTCCTAGCCATGCCCCCTCCTGGCTACTGCAAAAATTAACCCTGTTGTGGCCAGAACCAGGGCAAGAATATAGTGAAGTACATGGGAACTTTAGAAGCAAGCTTTGTACTTGAAATCAGGGTTGAAGATGCAAGATGTGATATGGTCTTTGAAGAGAACTAGAGCGTTAATTGAAATATGATGACTTCTGTTTGTTATGTGTAATTTGGAAGCTATATCCAAATGATCAAACTAATTAATGACTGGAAGTCTAATGCAAGCCTTGATACTGGAAAAGAATGTAACCATAACCGAAAAGTCTTTCTTAGAAGGAATATGTAAGTTTCTTCAGTTAAAGAAAAAATAAGGCAAGCAGCTTCAGAAGCCGTATGATACATAAATCAGGTGATAACCTGATATGTGTGATACTCGTAGATTATCTTTTAAAAGTATACAGTATACTTGACAAAAATATTTTTGATAAAAATGTTCTAATGTTCAAACTTTTCAGATTAGAAAGAGAGTGTTTTGCCTCAAACAATGAAATGAAAGAAGTCATTGAGGAAAAGAAGGTGGTAATTAAAGACCTCTCTGAGAGACTAGGGAATACTGAAAAAACCTGCAAAGAATTAGAGGAGGAGCTTGCAACGGTAAGACAAAAGGCCTGTAGCACTCCTTGTTTGGGGTTTTTTAAACATACCGTGAACATAATCTGCATTTGCTGTGCTGAGCTGTGGAATAAATCTGCCTTTGTGTTACTCTGATTTCATTTATGTTACTTTGTTTTGTAAAACATGAGTAAATATAGCTAATACACTGGAGAAGCCAATTCAAAAATGCACGTTAAGTGACACACTGTGTACTTAACTGAACAGTTATTTGCAGAAAACAATTATTTTGAAAGTATGGCTATGAGTGTAACTTGTGTTTGCATACCTAATGAAGAAGGCAGTTTGTAGGTATGGATTATGATTTTGTGCAAAGAATATTCCATCTTTCTAACCAGTCTTTTTTCTCTGAAGCTTGATTAGCTACCACTGTGGGCTTGTTTACTTTTATTTCACACAGTTTTAGTGCAAGCATTTGACTGCAAAAATTGTTTGAAAACTACTTGTTTGAAGGTGACAAAACAGAGGGTTTTTTTGTTTAGTTCTTTTTTGGTTTGGTTTGGTGGGCATTTGGCATTTTGGATGTATCTTACAGGTTTATTTTCTGAAATCTTCTTCCTTTTATATGACCAGCTGGGGCCTTTCCATGGTCTCTATCCACCTGAACTTTGTATTACAAGTTTTGCCATCCTGTTTTATAGCAGTAGGATCAAAGAAAAAATTTTACGATATCTTCATTAATGATGTAAATGAAGGGATGGAGTGCACCTTCAGCAAATTTGCAGATGACACCAAGCTGAAAGGTGCAGTTGACACACCTGAAGGACGGGATACCATCCAGAGGTACCTGGATGAGCTCAAGAAGTGGGCCCATGGGAATCTCATGAGGTCCAACAAGATCAAGTGCGAGGTGCTGCACCTGGGTCAGGGCAACCCCCAGTATATACAGGTTGGGGGATGGACTGATTGAGGACAGCCCTACCGAGAAGGCCTTGGGGGTGCTGTTGGATGAGAGGCTGAACATGAGCCAGCAATGTGAGCTCCCAGCCTAGAAAGCCAGTTGTATCCTGGGCTGCATCAAAAGCAGCATGGCCAGCAAGTCGAGGGAGGTGATTCTGCCCCTCTGCTCTGGTCTGGTGAGACCCCACCCAGAGTGCTGCATCCAGCTCTGGGGTCTCCAGCACAGGAAGGACATTGATCTGTTGGAGCAAGTCCAGAGGAGGCCACCAAGTTGATTAGAGGGATGGAGCACTTCTGCTATGAGGAAAGGCTGAGAGAATTGGGATTATTTAGCCTGGAGAAGAGAAGGCTTCAGGGTGACCTAATTGCGGCCTTCCAGTACCTGAAAGGAAGAAGAGAAGATGGAAAGAGACTTTTTACAGGTCATGTAGTGATAGGACATGGGGGAATTATACCAAACTGAAAGAAGGTTTAGATGAGATATTAGGAAAACATTCTTTACTGTGAGGGTGGGAGGTACTGGAGCAGGTTGTTTTCACAACAGAGAAGTTGTGGATGTCCCATTCCTGAGAGTGTTCAAGGCCAAGTTGGATAGGGCTCTGAGTTTAGCGGAAGGTGTCCCTGTTCACAGCAGGGGTATTAGAACTAGATGATCTTTAAGGTTCCTTCCAACTCAGGCCATTCTATGATTCTATGATTGTATGAGCTAGGAAACCTTTTCTCTTTTCATTGTGTAGTATCATCTGCGGTATTTCTATATATAGCCAATGTAAACTTGCAAATTTCTCCTCTTCCTTTCCCTTGGAGCTGTGAGTATAGAAGGTAATCATGGTCTGTTCCCTGCTACTGACAGGCATTGTGCTAATCAGTGAGTAGAAGCAGAGACCTGCATCAGAGAGTGTAAGACCCCAGGCCCCGAGCTGTGAGCTCACCAAGGGGTTTTACTTTAAAAATATGCAATGCTCCAACAATATCCACCCTCTGGAATATTGAAAGAACCCTTGGTTCTTTTAACACTTTAAGAGAGAGTGCAAAGGAGAAAAGCCACACGTGTTTTCTCAGGAGGTACTTTGCTGGTAAACTTTAGGAAATAAGAGATCTTGGCAAAAGTTTAGAGGGTAACATACAACCAAATTAAAGCATTCCACAAAGCTTGACTTAGCACATGCTAATACATATAACTTAGCCAAATCCAACCCATTTGCTCTCAAGTTACCTAAAATATCAAGAAAGGAGATTAAGAGAAGTAGTAGTAAAGAAAGAGAGAAAAAGAGAAAATTTATAGCTACCACCAGGGTCCTGTGAAAGTTCAGCTCCCATGTGTCCAGGTGGCAGGGTATGAACAAGTATGGCCAGTGCACGTTGCTGCCTGTATTTGCTTTGGCCCCCGTGGCCACACCCCCCCGCCAAGTGGGACTCCTGCTGTTCCAGCCCATGTGGAACTGGGTTAAAGGCTCTGGAGTGTGATGTGGGAAGTGCTCCTGGTGTCCAGTGACTGACAGCTGCTCTGGGGCTGCCCAAGGAGGCTTCAAGGGGCTGGGGTGTGGGACAGGGCATCACCTCACCTTCATGAAATTCAGTCTTACCCCTTCTTCCCCACACACACACTTGAGTTGGTTTGAGCCAATAATTAATATAGTAAACCAGCGTCTCACAGAGAGTCTTCAGATTTGTTGGTGTCTTCTCTTCAGTTGATGGACTTATTCCATACATTGTCTTAGTGTTTGCCACTTTCCAGGTAGATTGGTAATAAATAAATTGAAGAAAAATAAAATGTAAGAACCCTTTTTCTTTTGGGAGAACAAAACTTCTTCAGTGCAAGCATTAAAGTGTTAAAGACATTTGCTGCCCTAAGTCAACTGGGAAAAATCATTTTATCAGGCAAAAAAGGAATAAAAAGAAGAATTTCTTAGTAAAGTATGTTAAACCTGACAAGAATTCAGGACAGAACTCTGTTCATGTTCAAGGTTTCTGGTAATGGCAACAGTATTAAGTGGTATATTCAAAATGGACATTATGTTATTGAAAGGTAAAAGCAAAACAAATTGTCCCACTTGAAAGAAATGCCATGTTCATGGCATTTGTTCATAGAGCCTGTTGTTTTAATTGTTTTACTGGAATGATTTGAAACCACAAGACTGTCTTGAACAGGTAATAAAAATCCTTATTTTCTGAGGAGTTCTATTAGTGGTCCATGTGGGATTAGATTTTTATCACCTTGGGCGGCTTTATATATTTCCTGAAGACTTTTGTATTTATTTGGGAAGCAGGAGTGCCTGTGTGTGGTCTTGTTTACTCAGTCTGGACAGCTTTTTTGTTGTTTTGCTTCCCAAAATCAAAAAGCAGAAGGCTATAGCAAAAATTAATTCAGTATACTGTTATTAGGCTTCCCTATACCCACACTAAAATTGTGTGAAAATGTCAGTGTGTTCTCTTGCCTTAATTCCCCCCTCCTGGTTTCTTCATCTCTTAATTACTTTTTTATATTTTGTACTATTATTAGACATCCTGAATATGTCCTTTCCACTTCAGGCTGATAATCTTCAATTGGTTTCTCACAGTACTGTTACCACACAAGTTAGTGTTTTTGTTTGTAAAATAATTTGAAGATATACCAAAAAAATTCTTTTGAAGCTTTATATGAAAAAGTACTTTTCTTTTCTTTAATGGATCAGTTGAATGTATAGTAAAGTAGTTATGATGCTTGTAATTTTAAATATCAGCATGCGACAGAAGTTTGCCAGAAATTTGCATGGATCAAATGTTATAGGATCTGTTGCTATCAAACAAAATTGCTTATGAATGTTCAGCATGAGCAGGCTCTCAGGATTTCCATTATGTTTTTCTGAGGAAATTGGTCTCAAGCTTGTAATCATTTCTAGCTAGGGTTTTAGAAATGTTTAGCTCCAAGAATAGGAATTTAGAAGGGTAACCATTGTGATTCAGGACTTGCTTTAAACTGAAACAACCTCAGCTGTATTCCTGTCCCATAGAAAAGAATAAAAGATGTCTTTAGTAGTTTTAAGTTACTCAGGATATTTACATTTCTAGAACCTAATAGTGAATGCTCTTAGTAGCGGCCAAGCAGGAGATGTGAAACCTTTATTTTAAGAGAAACACATATTGAAATTTGGAGAACTTGCCAGTACACCAGAATACATATTAGGAAAGTGAAATAATTAAAATATTGTAGTTTAGTATAAATTCCTTTAACTTGGAAGAAGTGTATATTCATTTCCTCCCTTTTGTATAGATTCTATCAGAACCAGCATGATTTGTGTATAAGTGGTATAATAGATTACAAAGTGATATAATAGATTACACACGGCCTGTCTTTTTCCCTGTGGCATATAAATCTTTCTCTTACAGCCATGCCTGCAGTCATGCACTGTTTATGTCTGAGCTGTCTGTAAAAGCCTTGTAGGTTATCATAAACTGAATGTCAGAACAGAAGTGTTTGAAAATCTGTTTCCTGGACATGCGCATTAACCAATGTTCTTTAACAGAAGTGTCTTAAGTCTTGACTGAAGAGACAATGAATCACCCTGAAGATTGTGATTCTTTTCTGCAAATTCTGTGGAGTAGAAACTGGTACATGATGGCAAAGATGTAAATGTCAATTATTGTAAATAATTATATAAAGGACAATTATAGTGGACAGAGCATTTTTTTTTCCAAACTAAAAAAATCCCCCCAGTACACAATCCTCATTAATTTTTCACTAATGACCATTAAATGTTGTGTTACCTTGATTCCTGTTTTTCTTGCCTTAGTGCAGAGGTAGAATGTTCCTAGATGCTATTTCTGTTATTGTCCTAATTTAAGAAGACTAGTCAATCTGAAGCATAAATGATCTACAAAGAAACTAATTTTGTAGTTTATTCTGGAAGAGGTCATTCAAGCTGTGATGTCCCAGTGTTGTACGACAGACATCTAAAAAATGCTTTTAAAGTTGCAGTTTTCAAAAAATTTTTTCTGCCTTGAAAAAAAACGAACCCAAAACCCTGGAGAGATACTTCATAACATTCTCTTCCACCAAAGGTTGTTGCAAATCTCTGTTTAGGAGACAAGAATAGTTCTAATAAAACTTGGGCATTTTGATTAATTTTATTTCAGAGATATTTAATTTCTTGAGAGATTGTATTTAGTGTACACATGGATAGACTCCTCTATAGAATTTTGAATCTTCTAGCTAATATAAAAAATAAACTCTATTAAGGATTCAGTAGTTAGATAACTTGAGCAAAAATAAACAGTAGCTGAAGGAGGGAGATGGTCAGTAAGGGTTTTCTTTTGTTTTGGTTTTTATACTACAATTTATGCCTGGTTCTTTAAAATTTGTGCCACTATTCTGTTTTACTGAACATCACTTGAGTAAAACCTGTTTTTTGTGAACTGTGGAACAGTCATTTGGAACCTATTTCTGTACCGGGTTAGGCCTGGTAAACATTCTGATACTTTTGTAAAGAATTGACGTAAGTGCTTTTCAAGAGGTATCTGAACATACTGTTCCTTGGTGGCTGTGTGGATAGTTCTGGCTTTGGCATTTACTTTGCCATCACCACATGGGATTTATACTGCAAAGTGAGTGGGCGTATTAATCCATGTGCAAGAGAGCCCCTTAGAGCACCTTGTACCTGTAAACAAAGTAGAGAAAGTTCCTCAGGAATAATGGCGGTTCATTGTAGGACTGGACCCTAATTCCCTGTGTACTACTGCTGGAGTTTTATTAAGGTAAGACCTCAAATTCTTGCCCACATGTTTATTTTTAAAATTGTTAACTTGACGCACATACGCACATTTGCAGCATCACGTTCTGTGGACTGTCCTAGAAGTATGCATAGAGTTTGCATTTATTTTAGTCAACTGTGGCTTTTGTAAAATGCTGAAAAAAACAATGGAACATCATTTCTGTATTGGAATAGGTTATGGAAAGATACCAAAGTCAAATACTGGTTGTTAAGGAAAATATGTCTACAACCAAGGTAGTACGAAGTTGCCCAGATAAATATAAATAACCTTCTTGTGGAAGACTAACTCAATTCTGGCACTGAGTGGAATAATTTTCTGGTTATCCTTATAGATAAGGATACAAAGTATTTGGAAAAAAGATTTTCTCCTGATGGGGGCATACAGTACATTTCATGAAAAATGCTTGACTTCTATTTAATTTCTTTAGAAGTGCAGTTATGTTTTGAAATTGATGGTTAAATAAATATGTTGCCAAGTACATTTTCTACCAGAAGTATTTTGTCCTTCGTGTTGTTTTGTCATAATAGGAGCCGTCTTAAGGATATGAAGGGAAGCATTATATATACTAAAATTCAGCATATATTCTGCGTTTAGAAAGTATGATTTTGCTCCCATGATGTTTGGTTTCTGTCCTCCAGTGTGGAATATTTTGTGAAGGAGGGAATTGTCTTTGGGGAGTATAGGAAACACTCCTAGTATATTTTGAGAATTTTAAATTCTCAAGTGTCCATGTAAACTTCACAAGAATAATTTACCACTGGTCTCAGGGACCTGGGATTCCTAAAGGCAGGTTCTACCAGTAAAGGCTGAGATGAAAAAGGCATTGAAAAGGATTTTTCTGCATCATAGTCATCAGATTGCTGCCTCATTAGCAGTGGGCCCACATTTTGCCTAGGCTTGCTTTTGCTAGTGATACACTTCAGGAAGCTTTTCCTCTTCACGTCCCATGCCAGATTCAACTTTAGGTGGATTTTGGCATTCCTAAGCATATCCCTCTAGGCTATCCCTCTAGGTATTTTCCCCAGGTCACTATGTCTGATCGGCCCTCTTTATGCTTCCTATTAATATTTTAATTTAGTCAGGAGCTCCCTGTGTATCCGTACAGACCTCTTGCCTTTGATTTTCAAGGTCATTTTCGAGGATCACTTCCAAGGTCAAGAACGGTCCATTCTGCAGGAAGTCGAGCAAAGTCAGCAGAAGCCTTACTTCACGAATATTCTTTCATCTCTTTCTATTAATGTGGTCTGTGAAGCAAACTCTCTTTAAGTAAAGGCTTTAGCAATTTTGTTACGTGATTTCCCTTTTGGAGTGATCTAGGAAACACACTACTTTTCCAGTAGTTCTATAGGAACAGCATCCCCACAAACATGTTGATGGATGAAGTTGTTGAGAAGGATGTAACTGCATCTCCTGGAATAGTTGAATCTGGACATAGATTATGTTTGACTCAACAGTTGTGGACTCAATTTTCCTTTTCAGAGTGAAGCATTATGCATACTCCCTGTGTTTGTTCAGACTGAAGAAGATTAAGGGATAACAGCTACTGCTATGAACTGTCAAGTGGGTGCTTATGGAGAAGGTGGAGCTGAACTCTCCTTAGATGTATGCAGTGGAAGTATGAGAGAAAACAAGGAAATTCTAATTACCTGTAAGAGGGGAAAAAAACTTTACAGTGAGGACTGTGAGATATTGGAGCAGGTTTCCTGGAGGGCCGTCTTTGAGGATACTCAAAACTTGACTGGACGAGGCTCAGAGCAACCTAAGCTGACTTGGAGAACACCCTGCTCTGAGTGGGGAGCAGGACCAGATGATCTCCATAGGTCCTGTCAGCTTAAATTGTTCCATGATTTTATGACTCTATACATTCTTATTAGATACCTACCAATGAGACATAAGAAATCAGATCAATATTAGACCCTTTGGACTCTTAACCTGTGCCTGGATTTTCAGCACTGTAGTTTACAGTGTTTTTTCTTCAATTTCTGATAATGGGGACAGTGATTGAAAATGGAAGTCAAAATGGAAAGATGCCAAATATTTTGCAGCTAAAATGTAGAGAAACTGACTAGTCTAAGGAGTTTCCTTTTGGTCTTTATTGCTGTTGAGAAAGAGACTGAAATTGGCTTAGGAAGTGTAGGAGCAGTTAGCAAATAAAGCACGGAGAAGTGGTGAAGGCTGAAAAGACTGGAATACACTGACCAAATTATGGTAAATTAACTAAACAAAAAGAAAAATTGGATGTGGAGATTGAAAGAAATTCTCACATTTGACTTTTCCATGGGAAGATGTTTTCCTGGGAAGATTTACTCTGACCTCTGTGCTGGCATAGTTTACGTAAAAAGTATTTCTTTTATCGTGATGTTATATATTGCTATATTTTATTGGTTTTAGTGTGTGAGATCTTTAGGATGATATCAGTACATGAGAGCAAACTTTAGTGTGCTTGCATCCCATAAAATATTTTTACTGGATCTTAACATTTACAAGCTCTATTCATATAAGTAATTTTATGGAGTAAGAATTAAACCTAGTTATTTTTCAATATATAGAAATGGTTTGGAAAATCTTTATGAACTGTAGTACAAACTCTCACAGAAGGAAAGGCATGTAAATGCTACAGGGGACCTAACACTGAAATACACATATGAATAATATATTAGTTGATATACAGTACATATAATTAAAATTGAAAGAGTAAGGCAAATTTATAAAATATTTAGCTCAATAGTGAAGAACACTGCAGAGAATTAAATGCATTTCTTGGGTTTTTATCCTGACAGTTATATGCTAGCAGTATGTAACAATTTTCATGGGGAGGATGTTTCCCACACATGAGAAAATGCCTGCATCCTTTGACATGCAGTGAAGCATAACTAAAACGATAGTTTATAGATATACTAGAAAACAGTAGGATTTTTCTCAATAAAAAAAGGTTAATCTTCCATTACCAAGTAGAAATGGAAATTACTCAAATAGGTTTTAGAATTTAGAATGTAAATAAATTGAGCAGTTAAAAGTTATGAGACATCTTTGAGCATAACCTTTGTCATAAGAAAATAGTGAAATTATTTAAATCTGATTTCCTCTGGATCTGGGGGGAGAGGTGGTTGGTTTTCATTTGTTATTGCTGTTTTTTGGGGTTGTTTTTTAAATTATTGAAATGTATTACTTTTTGTCAGTTAGCAGCTAAAGTTGTACATTTCTTTGAGAAGTTAAAACTGCATATACCCAAAAGGACCTTGGTCTTGTCTGGAATGACGGATGCATGTCTTTGAAAACTGCAAGTTATAGTCTTGGTTATAGACTGAAGGAATGATTTGATACAGTCTTTCTATTGTAGCAATTAAAAAATTTGCTGTAGTACCTTTCTGCCCTCAGAATAAAGTCAGTGTCTTGATTTGAACATTAGGCTGCACTTAGTGGACTGCTTTCTTTCAGAAAATACAGTAGTAGGTGTTGAAGAACTCTGCTGCTTTATATTCCGTGCATAAGGGTGAGTTTTTGGTATTGAAGAAATCACTGTCTAGCATGGAAGATATTAACAATTGAAGTAGGCAGGTTTGCAGTGAGGGTAGGTGTGGGATTTGACTGAGTGCCAAATCATGGATTTCTAGCCTGTCTGCCAGTAGTTTGGTGTCTTTCTGGATGTCCTTGTAGGGTGTAACAATAGATTTCATTGCTTGCATAGATGGGCACAATTTAATGTTCATTAAGATATTTTTGAAGCAGAAGGTGATCAAGACTAAGTTTTTCTGCAAACATCTTTTGGGTTTTTTTGAGTATCTGAAGTCTTTAGTTTTATTTTAAGTGTGTTTCAGGGTTCTTTGTTACTTATTTGTTATGTCATGTTAAGTATCTTGGTCAAGAAGAGGTGTAATAAGAATTATGGCAGGAATTTAGATTTAAAGGGGAACAAATATACCGTTGTGAGATGTATTTTTTCTGTTTACTGTTTTAATGTGTTTCATTCCCTGCCCCCCCTTGTCTTGTCTGTATCTCCTGTCAAATAAAGGCCAAGAAACACCAGGTCTTTCTAACAGAGACGTATGAAAACAACATGAGAGAGCTGGAGTTACTCTTGGACAGCTTTGCTATGTCAGGCCAGCGGACAGCAGGTTAGTTGAAGGTATAAAATGACAGATGCATCTGTCAATGTTCCAAAGTCACTACATTGTGGGAATTCTGCAGATGCCTCTTGCATTCCCTCTTCTCACCATGCTTTGATTTGATGACATGATAAGAGCAGTTCTCACAGCAGTCAAATGGCCTTGCTAGCTGAGAGAGGGTGACGGAATGTGGACCTGCTGTTGTCAGCCCAGAACTCGATATACAAATGCTGGGGTGTATATGCCGGTCAGAAAAGGGCTTACTTGCTGTGCTCTAAATCCAACTGAGAAAAAAGTCCTTACAGTATACCTGCAAAGGGAACAGATGTTTTGCTTGAACTGAGCCAAATTCTCAGGCAACCTTCAGCAACTTAAAGGTCATAAATTCAAAAAGGTTGTGTAGGACACTTGATATAACACAATACTTTTACAGTTGATTGTGGACCAGTACTGTATTGCTTTCATTTGATTTAGTACAGAACAAATATTTCTCTATTTTCATTAAAATTAATTGTAAGTCAGTGGTTGTCACTGCTACTTGGCTTTATATGTAATGTATCAAACTTAACAAACTGCTGCCTGGTTAGACATTTGAATTAGTGGCTAACAAAACCAAACTGAACTTTAACATCAAGCTAGTAGTTTTTTACAGGTAGAAGTTGTACACTTTTTAAAATCTTCATTTAAAACAATGTACAAAAGATATTTCTATGTAATTCCTATTAGAATAACACATACTAGACATGAAATGCTTCCAACTTAGAGTGAAAGTAAACTGGAAGAAAACAGGCAGAATGTGGCTTAAAGAGCAAACAAGTTTCTTTTATATAAATCATGATGATTTGTTTTTGCACTTTTTAGGAGCAGTAGACATAAATAGATTGTATAACATCATTAAATGAAGATGCATTTTTTTTGTCTTCACAGAATGATTTTTTTTTTTTCAGCCTGGTACTGTTTAATTTCAATAAAGGAACAACTTCCTGAGATTTCTGTTGTCCTTAAAAGTCTTTGAATCTGTGATGCATTTGTTTCCTCACATGGGCTATATGATTTTTTTTGTTTGGGAACTGGTATCAGTTTTATTCTGTAATTATACATGTAATTCCTGTGGGCAATACCTATAGATTTACCGTAGATACATCAGTCTGATAAGCTCTTTAAGACTGTATGTTTTCCACATTCTTGCCAAGTTCCACATGCTCAGAGGGACTTAAGCAATTCTGGCGGGAGCTGGATGCTGCTGCCAGAGTGCAGTTTCCAAAGCAGTAATTGTCTTTCAGGTAGGTTTTCTTTCTCCCTGGTGGTAAACTTTGCAGAGAACAGCTTTGACCTGTTTCTATAACAGTAACTTCAGTATTAATTTGCTTTGTTTGAGGTAAACTTTTAAAAAATCTTATTTAAAGAGATCTTTTTTTTTAAGCTTTAGCATCTCTGCAGAGGCTTTGTTGAGGCAGATAGTAAAATTTAGCTGTGCTGTGGATTGAGTCTTTACAGCTAATATTAAAATAGATATTGACTAAGACATTTGTTCTACATATTTACTATGCTTCTAAGTGTGAAATCTAGTTTTTAATGCTTTTTCATTATTATATTATTACTCTGGGGTACTTATGAATGTATTATGTAGCAATATTTCTTCAAATTTTTTAAAAAAAATATTTATTGTAATTATATTTGAAATGAGAATGTCCAGGTGCCAGTAAAAGTAAAAATCTTAAATAAATCTTTGTAGTCTGATTAGCAGGTGAGGGGCTACATGAGCCACACCTGACCTGGCAGTCTTTCTTGTTCTCGTTTCCAACTTTGAACTCAAGGGGTTGAGAGATCTACTTAAAAATCTGTCAATACTAGAGATCCGACCCCTTAAGTGCTGATTGGACTGTGATTACTGGGCTATACAGGAAAGAGAAGATGAGACTTTATATTTTTGAGATTAAAGAATTTTAGAAAGTTATTTTTCTTTATACATACCAAAATAACAAGCATAAATCCATGTTTTCTCCTTTTTCAGTGACCTTTATAAATTTTCCACAGCATTGTTATTGGGCCGTTTGCATGATTTCCTTTTGTATCTGTTCAGTTTATCATATTTTGCAGTTATTCAGCAACAGAATTTGTTCTCAGGTAAATTTGTCTCCATTTCAGGAAAAAAGTAATTATGGTTGTAGTAATATTAAAAAAAAGTGAAATGGGTATAAAGTTCTAAGAGTGTTAGCTGCTTTGAGTTAGCCTCACCATTTACTGCAGGCCACCAGTACTGTTTTAGCCAAAAATGTAAAATGCAGCACCATATGAGCCTCTGTGAAGGAAATTAACTCTATCCTAGCCAGGCCCAGTACTACTAGCAGAAAGTCCAGAGCAGCAGGTTTAAGAGTTTACTCACTTGTATACTTCCTAATAGTCTTCTATTGAACTTGGCATTTTCTCAAAATTCTACCCTCAAACTCTTAGGCAATACTGGGCATATGCTTCCAGATTTTTTTTTTTTTATATTGCTGACAGAGTGCCTCTGCAGCAGCAGAGTGCCATTTGGATTATGTTGCATGTCTCCTGAATAGTTGTACGAAGATGGACAACATTTAACCATAGACTTGTTTTCAGCTAGTGCAGAAAGGTTGAATCTAGTATTTCTGTTGGCAGACTGAGCTATCTGGAAGTAGGATTGCAGCAAAGGTATGAAATGACAGCATGGAGAATTTACTGGCAAAAGTCCAGTTTTGGCAAACATGATGTAAATTAATGTTTCTTTGACAGCATTGCAGGTTGGGACTTCATAAGAAATGAAGACCCATTATTTAGACACCTTGATAGAAACTGTTGGATGGAAGAAAATGCTTTTATTGACTTAATAGGTATTATTTGAAACTAAATGAGAATTGTGAGTTACTGCTTCTCCAGAGCTACAAGTATGGAAGAATAGTAGTTAATTTTTTCTGTGCAACAGGATCACTGCAAAATGTTCTTACAATGGGTAGCATTGAGAAAGTGGTCTTGTAACTGAGGAGACTGGACTAGAGCCCTGTGTATAGCTGTAGCTGTGGTTAAGTGATAAAAATTATAGTAACGTGTCCCTTGTCACTTTCTTCAAGGTGAAATCTAAACTTCTCATAAAAGGTCCGATTTTATGAATTCTTACATTGATTCTAAGTGTAACATTGCTATTTGGGTCATCTTTAGGATTCAGAGGGCTCTGGTGTCCCCTTATTAAGATTTTGCTTTTCCCTGACTCTGTAAAAATAAGTTTATAGATGCTGCATAGTAGTATAAACAATGCTAACAATGATCTGTCAATAATCTGGTATTGACATGTAACACCAGAAAAAAAAAGAAAAGTTTGTTCTTGGAAACTGAATATTAGCTGACATGTTGTGACCTCTTGATCAATATAGTGTTGTTTTGCTCTCTTAGTGCATTGTGGTACGGTCTATGGAATGCTCAGACTTGTTCATATGTCCTTAATTAAGGCAACCAGATCAGAAGTCTCTGTATAAATGTTTAATAAATAAGTGTAGTGTGTATATAATGGATATATCAGATTTATAAATGAAAAGTTATGTAGAACTGTGTAGACAGATAATAGTTTTTAAAAATTATTTCCTTTGGAATGAAATTCAAGACAATTTAAAATGTTTTTAAGTTATGTTTCTCCAAGCATAACATAATGATTTGATCTTTGGCTCAGTAAAGCTTTAAGTGAATGAAGTACTGCATTGACATGCTTAGTCACAACAGCAAAATAATGTCAGAAAAAGTATAACATACTTGACTTTCAGACTACATGCTTTTCAAAATGTTTAATTATGTGGTTTTGAAGTTGGCTTGTCTGACTGAACAACACAGACTTGACCGTGGTAGGAATTATATGTGAGACTGCATACCAAATACATAAAGTGTTAATGTAATCCAGAATTTACAGGTCTATATCTTGAATTAAGGCTTTTATAGTCTTTCAGCTACATTTGCTGTGAGAGTGTGGCTATTCAGCTGCGTCTCTTGCGGCAAACAAGGCTACTGTTCGGTATTTTGTATTGTCACTGAAGCCCTGACTAGTTTTAATACTTCTCATCCAGGATGAGTAATTTTCTCTCTGTGGCTTTAAGGCTTAATTTTCATTCTGTGTTTTCCTTCAGGCACTTGCAACGACAAAGATAAACCGCCAAGTTGCTCTGTCCTTGAGACTTTGAGGTGTATCTTGACAGCTTACCAGAACAAGCTGGAAGATACCTCTAATGAGGTAACACTTGCAATGTTTGGCTCTATATGTATCGCATTTGGCCTGCAGCAGTACATATGCTTTGCTTGTAAAAAAGGGCAGAAGAGTGGGAATGTTGAGTTGACAGCTTCAAGTATACCTAAAGAAATAATCTCTGTCACTGCTATTTCTCTAAGCTTGCCCTACAGTGAAGTTTCACTTATATTTGTGGAGACAGGGAGTAGAGTTTTTTGTCTTTCTAGTTTAATTTAGTTTTGTTTTCTTGTTAAACCTTTTTGGGATTATTTTTCAATAAATATTTAGGATAAGAAACTATTCATATCTAAGATTTTAGCTAAAAGGTGATGATTTAAGAGTGTGGCAGCATATACCGCAATATTCCTAAATACACGGCGCTTGAGCCTCAGTAGTCATTGCTATCAGTTATACAAATGATCATGCCCTCTGTACTTTTAAAAACCAGTGTAATTTTTTGAAAAGAGTGTGTTTTCCCTGGAATCTCTTCTGGAGGTATTTTGCTGTCCTTTCACTTAAAATAGGACCACTACAATACTTTCTTTAAGTTATCTGAGAGGATAATGGAAATATTTCAATTTTGGGATTCTTACGGTTGAAAAAAACCAGATGTTTTCCTTGAGTCCTACTGTCCTTTTATTTCACTGGCTGAGAAGTCAGAGTCTTGCATTTATTTTGTTATTTGTATTGGTAAAGTGACTAAATTACTCCTCTTGTGGGTAAATGTTTTATAAACTTGTGGCTTTAAAGGCTGTAGAGAGAAGTTAACTACACCATTAAAACTTTTTGTGCAAACTTGTAATTAGCTTATGTTTGAATAAAATTGGCAAATACAGAAAGGCAAGGTGTAATAAGATTGTAAAAATGTCAGTACTATATTTCATTTCTAGGTTTTGTCTTTTGTTTTGACAAATGCATAGTCTAGGTAGTCACTCACAACATTTAAAAAGAAAAAAAAAAGAAAAGAAAAAAAAAGGAGAAGTATATCAGCTTTGCCCCTTTTATTGTGAAAAGAACAGTCTCCCACAAGACCTTTGAATGTGTTTAATGGACACAAAAATAAGTGACCATGGAAACAATTATACTTTTTAAACAGCAAGCTCTGTTAAGTCTCTCCCAGTGAGATAAGAAAACTGATGTGTATAGTCATTATGAAACTCTTCTGAGACCCAAGTCTGGAAGCTGAAGAGTAACTAGGAACATATTACCCACAGCGAATTGTTATTTGGGAGGAGGAATGTCACGTGATAGGCAGCACAGTTGAAAAGTCGACTCAGCAGGCTTTGGCTTAGTGATGTGCTTTGTTGTGAAACTGTGCCAGAGACAGCAGTGGGGAGACCAAGGGGGTGGCTTCTAAGAAAGCAAAGACAGTGTTCTGACAGAAAGAAGAATGAACTGTCAAGGAAAATAAATCGCAAGCAGAGCAGGACCGACAGATAACCTGCCACAAGACTTCCCAGTAGGACTGCGTGTGACTGACCCTGAAGTTGTCATATGGAGCCAGAGATCACTGAGCACCTTTATGGTGCATAGAAAGGGCAATGCTCTGTCCTTCTTGATTACCCTCGCCCCCACAGAGAATGCTGCTTTTGGGTTTTTATGTTAGATATGTTTAATAATAAAACTTTTTAATAATACAATAATGCACAAGGGGACTATGAAGGGCACTGTGCAATAAAACCAGGATATTTTAATACATAACAGTAAGGGTGTAGTTTTGAGCAATTATTAGATGTTCTCTTTATAGAGAGATTTTCAACAAGACTCCACATATTGATGAATTTGTTAATGTATGTGTACACCTGGATGTATACTTGAAATATGCTGGTAAACTTGTCATGTGTCATCTTTAACTTGCTGTACTAAACATTAGATTAAATGATCTAGTTCATTCGTGTGACTGAAAGGTGTATAAATGTTTTGGTTTTTGCAGACAACTAGCTTCTAACTTTTTGTATAGTGCAGACCACTAGAATGTTTAGGGAGAGCAAAAAGAATAGTAAACCAACAAAAAGACTGGAAATATTCCAGTAGCATTCTGTAATTTACTGTAATTATTTCTAAGGGTTCTGCCAGGTCTACTGACATCAAAATATAAAAATAAACAAGAATATAATTTCCAAAGTAATTTGTAAATTTTATCAATGGAGTATTTTGCTTCTGAGTTGTTCATTAAATCTCAGGTGCTTTCAGTAACCTGTACTAGAATACATTTCTAATCCATACTTTCTTTCAGGCATTTGTATTGCTAGCCTCATAATCACGTAAACAAAGACATATTATTTTGATATGTTATCTTTTCTGAAAGTGCAAAGTACACATTATGGTCATGAGCTACCTCTAAGATAGTTGCTTGTAATCCTACGAAGATTCAGTAGTCACTGTGCCTCTCGGGAACATTGCTGCTTTGCTGCTTTTACAGTATGTGAGTGTTCAGTGAAGACCCATGCTTATAGCTGGACAATTTCTGCGAATGGCCACAGAGTGGAAAACTTGTTTTCTTAAACCACTCCTCAGATCATAATCTAAATTTATTACACTTTCAAGTGCATTTCAGTGCATTTCTATGTTCTCGTCAGATATTTTGAGAGTTAATAAGATAGTTAATAGTGGACTGAGTTTGGGATTCTGCCACTACTCTGTATCTTAAATCATTATAAAAGAGTTATTTAGTGCTTTTGTAATGGCACATTAATTAGATTGTATGGAGTACAAAAACTGTCAAAGGAATTGAAATCAATTTTGTTGTTTTACTTTTATATACAAAGTTCTTCCTTTATATTGAAGGGGTCATGCAACCTTTCTGTGAAAACCAGTTTGACCTCCATATATTTTACAGTTTGAGAAAATGAAGGCTCTGTGTAAAAAGATGACAGAAGACCTTGAGATATCCGAGGAGAAAGTGTGTACTTTAAGACAAGACCTTAAGGTATGTTTAATGAATTTAGCATAGAATTTTAAAGTTCTCAAAAAATTATCTTTCTGGATTTAAGGTATCTTTCTTATGAGAATAAGTCTCCATATCATTCTGTTCTGTTGAGCAGACTAGTTTACCTTACAAGCTTGTTAAGCCATGCTGCTTTATTCTGGTTACCACTGTAGACTACACAACTGGTCGTTTCGATGATTGTACTTCTGAAATAACTTGAAATACATTTATCAATTTGCAAAATACTGTTTTGTATTGAAATTGGCATCAATATTTTTTCTTTTAATATTTTTCTCAAGAAAAGGGGAATTTAATTACCTCTGTTCATATGAAGGTATATTTTCTTAAACATATCCATTCCTTTATTAATTTTTTTTTGTTTGTGTTTATCAGGTCAATGCATGTAATGCATAAGGTTGTCTTTAACACCTATACAATATGCAGCCTAAAATTTCTTAGAGTAAAATCTACCTGAGAACTGATAAAAACACTTGAGAATTCTTTTCTTTACTTTCTGAACAAGAATTTTTTTTTGTCTCTGTTTTTGGCTGACAGCACTTCTGTGATGTCCTGTCTGGTTACATCAACGGCCAAGGGAGTGAGGAAGTCCTGAGGTTATGGTTAAACTTAATCTCCTGACTGGCAGTGTATTGTATTATTACCAAAATAGTGTTTCTCTAAACCTGGTGTTTTTCAGTCTCTTTTGCTGAGAATATGCTGCGTTATGTTTTTATGCAGTGTTTTTCTGCAACATTCATTGAATCTTCATATTAAGGGCTACTTGCAGATGATGTCTTGTCATCTGATCTGAACTTTCTTTACTAATTTATGTTTGGAAGACTTAAGACTTCTGCTTCTGTTCCAGCACCTTTGTAAGACACCTAAGATTTCTGCAACCCATTGCAAGTGATATTTGTATTCTTCCTGAAAAAACTGAGTTTGCTACACACAGAGAGTGCTGGTTTTTATGCAGTATGCCAGTTTCAAATCTCTTTAAATTTTTAGTAATAAAACTGCAGAGATAAGCAAAAGCTAGATCCAGTGTGAAAACATTTGTGTTCGAAATTTAACATTGTTTTAATATTTTAATGTTTTCATGAAGAAGAATAAAAGTCATTGTCTAATGAATTGGGAGTATCTTTTCTATTATATTTTCCATATAAGAAGCTACGATTTTGTGAAAAATGAACAATGCTTTCAGTTTGACCTTTTGCAAACTTTAGCAGTGCTGGAAATCCAGTGCTTATAGGAGAGCAAAGCATGTGTATCTGTCCACTCTGTCTCACAAATATTTTGACTGTAAAGGGGTAGTTTATTAATTTCTTTGTTTACCTGGTGAAATTTGGTGCTGGTAACATAATGATTCTATTTATGACCATTTCTGATTATTCAGTTACTTCCCATGGTCAAACCTCCAAAGAGGGTCCTCCCATTTTTTTTTCATGGCAATAAAAATACAGTGAGGAACAAGAGCTGTGTTGCTTACAGACTCAACTGCAACAGATCAGAGATTTACTTAAGAAAATAGTGTATGTTTTCACTAGCTCTGAGAGCTTTGCACTCTGCAGAGGATAAGTTGTGTCCCTGCATTCTGCATCTCATTTGTGGGGGTAGAGGGTATTCTGAAGGTCACTGCATCGTGGAGCTTTTACCAGTCAGGGATGCCCATATTGTCTAGTTACAAGCTGTAGAAGAGGCCTATTGTCAATTTTGAAATTCAGATATTGAATTAGCCTGGAATCTTATGAATACATGTGGCTATATGGCTTTACTTCCTCAGATGATGACCGCTAGACTAAGGTAACATTTCACAGACTAAAATTCTTACCAGCCTTTCTGTTCCATGCTTCTGTCTTACAGGAAGCTCAGGATACCCTGGCTGATGCCAGTAAAGAGTTAAATCATCTGCACACTAAGTGTGCAGACAGAGAGACTTTAATAGAAACTTTAAGAACGAAACTACAGGATGTACAACAATGCTGGGAGAAGGAGAAAGTACGTGCCACAGAATCAGAAAATGAAATCCAGAAGCTTACCAGGGCTTACCAGAAGGATATGGAGGTATTACTAGAGACAAGATGACTGTCAAAGAGTCTTTATTTAATCTCAACTTTATACATTTACATACATCAGATGGTTACTCTTAGTCTTAACATATTTATCTCTAAAATATGATTTTAAGATACATATTTTGAAATATGTATTTAATATCTATGAGATCTCAGGACGTATCAGTTCTCCTTTCTTCTGTATCTGAACTAGTAGCTTAATCATTCCAGCATTTTGAATTTTTGAACAACTGAGTATATTTAAGAGCTACACCTGACGAACAATTCTTTCTTTCTTTCAAACTAAAAGTTAACAAAAATGTTTTACAATTGGAACATAGAGTAGTGTCATTATCATTATTACTGATTCACATATCGTTGAGGTAGTTTTGCATGCAGGCCACAAAACCTAGAAATTCTTATTTGTTATCTATTAAGTCATTGTGGTGTGCTATATGAAGGAGCGAGTTCACAACATCTTATTTCAGAACTATTATCTCTCTCCTTATATATATTAAGAGATGTTAATTTTGTTGCTTTTCCCCCCCAGTAAAGTGGTTCTGTACTAGCATTGGGAATGATGTACTTTTAGTCGTGCATATTGAGCTCATTACTTCCACAGATTTGGATATGGATGCCAACTGAGTGAAAAGGAAACATTCTTTCCATCACTCTTACAGTCTGGTATTTAAATAGGGTCCACATGAAACAGCTGAAATTGTTACACACATCAGATAATGATTAAAGTGAAGGAAACTAGAAGTCTGGCTCTGTTGTAAAGTCTGCATGTCTACAACACTGTGGTTGCATTCAACATGTGTGAATTGATTTAGGGTCTTGGAATCCCCTTTTTTACCCCAAATGGATAATTATCATCCTCGGTTTATCACAGCCAAGCAAAAATGTAATGAAGGTGGCACACTGGATTTTCCTTGGGGAATTTGCAGATCTGTTAGAAAAAAAGTTTAATTACAATTTCTTTTTAATTGCATAAAATACCATGAAATAATTGTGAGCAACTGCACCTAAGTGTGATGGAAAGGGCTCAGAAAAACCCTAGTTCCCCATCTCCATTATCCACAATTTCTTAATGTAAAACCTCATCCAAGGCCCCTGAAAAACAATGGGAACATTTACAATAATTTGACTTTTGAGGTTGTTGTCTGTTGTTGTCTTAATCAAAGTTGCTAAGTTGCATATATGTACTAAAACCATGAAGGCTTTAATTTCTGTTGCATGCTATTGTTGCTAAAGTTTATTTATAACCTGCATCAATTTATTATACTACTGGCTAAAATCAGTGTAACTAAATTAGACATGGCTTGTGGAATGTAGCTGATGAAGCTATAAGCCCGTTTTATCTGGCCATTTAGTCTCATTCATGATCCATACAAAAACAGTTTTAAAAAGACTTTAGAGTGATAGTTGTATAAACGGTGTGTTGTGCTGCCAAACCAATCAGACAATTTTCTGCATGCTGTGCAAATGTTGGAAGTGGGTACAGTTTGAATGTAACTGGAAGTGTTAACATGAATAAATAAATTGCATGTACTAATAGCATGGAATTTTTTATCTGTGTCAGCTCCTGGTTGTGGCCACTGCAGGACTGGTCTTTCTTTGTATACTCTATGTCTAATTAGACATAAAGTATAAAAAATAATTAGACAAATTTTGTAAAAAGTGTTTTCTTACACTTGTTTTGATATGCATGACTGCAAATATTAGCAATTGAGGAATTTTATAAAAGGTTTGAGAATGAGCTTTGTGGGATTTTTTTCACCTGCTTGTATTACCATCCATATGATGCATGTATTTAGATTCTAACACTGTTTGGGTACAACAGTAAATTTTTCTTTTTGTTTCAGGAAAAACTAACCTTCCTCCATAGCTTATACCAGTGTTTGGTAGCAGGCCGTGTACTTATAAAACAACCAGAAGGCATCCTAGATAGATTCTCTTGGTCTGAGCTTTGTGTAGTCTTGCAGGAAAATGTTGATGCCCTGATCTTAGACCTCAGCAGGGCTAATGAGAAGGTAAGTGTCCTTAGGCACCATCTACCTCTATTAAATTCAGTGACATTTGTCCTCATCACAGTATCATTAAAAAGGACTGACATTCATCTTGTTTCAAAAAAGATTTGGACGTTAATAATTCAATACCATTAATTATGGCTTGTCTACAACTCAGTTTGATGCCATTGCTGTGGGCATGTAAATGTGACTGAAGTCGGTATGAAGTCTCTAAGCTCCACTTTCAGTGCAGGACATGCTAATAGTACTAGCCAATATTAGCCACAGGGACCTAATTAAAAGAAAATAAATTAATCTTACTGATGAAGCAATTCAAAGAACTTAGTCATTTACACTAATAAAACAAGTCTTTATTTTACCGTAAAACAGAAACAAAATACACTTACTCTAGGAATATCATCTTTAAATTATATGTTTATGATTCAGAGGTGCTGTGCCAATGTATTTTTTTCATTTAATTGTAATTTATGTATTATGAAATTTGTATTCAGAAACACAAATAGAAAATACCTATTTTATAAAACATGTCAATATTTGTTATAGGAAGAAGCTGTACTTTTCTGAATTATTTTGATGTAAGCAAGTTTTCATGGCCTTTCTCCACAGAAATCCTTGCATTTTTAGGAAAGAAAATAAGTTTTTAAATAAGTTAAACTGACTTCACAGGCTAACATATGCCAGTCTTCAGAATTTCAGTTTGTTTTCTGGCTCCATTGATCAGGCCAGTCCTAAACGTAGTAAAGTGACTCCAGAACCTGGCTGCCTTGACATTTTGGGTTTGAGTCATAGAAAGGGAAAAGCTCTTTTGAACAACTATCATCTTCTGGAATTGTTACCACTCTTTTGGCTCAAGTAAAATGTAGGGATGGTTACGGTGAATTGTTTTAACTCTGCCCATCATTTAATAAATACCCCAGCAGTCAATTGAAATTACTAAAGAGGGATAGGATAAAATCTGGATTATTCAGATTTGATGTGCATTTCTATTTTCCTTTTGAAGTAAAAGAGGAAAGGGAATAGAGGAGAAGGGAGTAAACATTGTTGAGAGTGTTTGGGGGTGTTGTGTCGTATTGTTTCTTGCTTTTTAATTTAGTATGGTTATTGATATTGACTGTGAGGTCTCTAGGGCTCTTTTCATGTACTTACTAGCTTTTCAGGGATTTTGAACAGTATTGTTACCTGTGTTGTACCTGCTTTCTTGAGAACAAAATTTTTCTCTTGCATTTCTGTGTGACCTATTTTCAAGGTATCTGACATTCCCTAGAAGTAAAAGTGTGTAGATGTGTGTATTTAAAGATCATTGTTAACTTGATTAATTTCTCCATTTAGTTTGCATGGGAGCTGCAAAGTTATCCACAGAGTGAATCCCTTCACACTTGTTGAAAACACATCATAAACTAGTGAGCTATTTGTGAGAAAAACATTCTGTACGCTAAAATTTCCTGAAATTCTTTCAATACTTAATAACATCTGGAATGTCTTGGCTTTCCACTAAAACAAAAATTAAATTAAGGGCTGGTTTTTTACTTATTATTTGCAATTCTTGCAAACTGCTAAAGGACTGGTATACTCAGATTACTACTTTAGCAGCACAAGATTTAATACACTTATTTAAAAAAAATACAGGAAGTGTCCGGTTCAAGTTTTCAACAAAAAAAGCACCAAATATCTGCAAGGTTGTATAAGGATGGCAAAACTGAAACCAAATTTTTGTTCATTTGTTGCACAATTCAAATAAATAATCTGTCATTTAATGAATATGTTGAAGAAATTACAGATTACGTTTTCTGCTGGAATAGTCTGTGGTTAAATTAATATGTACAATAAAGTAAAAAGGTGTTTAGAGAAGTAAGAGAATTTCTTTTTAAATGCTTGTCACACAGATATCTCACCTAGAGTATATTTGTAAGAACAAGTCCAATACTTTGAAGGATCTTCGGCAGAGCCAGGAAGATGCTTTTAACGAAATGGCTGAACAGATGAAAACCCAGGCAAGCTGCTGGCAGAAAGAAAAAACGTATTTGGAACAACAGTGCTCATGTCTCCTTGGGGGAGTTCATGCAAGGGCACAGGTATGGTGCTGTGAACTTCTGATTTTTTTTTCTTGTAAATATTTAGTGGATTATTTCAGTAGTTTAAGCCCCTAACCAGTTTAAGGTTGTTTAAAATTAAGAAAAAACCCCACCAAACAAAACCCAAAACCCTGTGTATTAAGTTCATTTATAATAAGAAATAAATAACTTTGTTAAAACATTCCAGAGGTGAACTGCCTAATTTTACCTACAGTTGCTAGGGACTCTTTTTTTTTTGAGGATATTAAGGCTGCAAGATTGAACTTTAAGAATTATATAGGGCAGCAGTTATTTTTTCAATGTCATGCTTTGCAAAGACTGTAGAGTAACAGTAATGTCGTATCATTGGGGGATAAATTTAGGTATATACATTCTGACCCTAAGAAGCAATTAGCAGTTACAGTGGTAGATTTCAATGCTGTTGAAGGACTCTGTTACAAAAGGAAAAAAAGGTGAAAAAGTGTAAAAAGTGTAAAACTGTTGCCACTGATTGTTAGAAAGGTTAATTGCAATCTAGAATGTTCGCTGTTATTCTACAACCACTGATCACTATATTTTCAATCACATTCCTTTACATGTGTTTCGATTGAAAGTGTTGTGAAATAGAAGAAATAAGATATGCCTTGTTATTTGTGACTGCCATCTGAAACTTACTTCATCAGAATAATACTGTATTTGACTCAGATTTCAGGCTTGGAAGTCTTTCAATGGTAATTTATTAGGAATGAGTTATAATCTTGTAGATACTATTTGCTTGATATTTACATTTTACGTCAGAGATTGCAATTGTAAAAATGTCCCTGTGAGTGGAATAAGTGGCATCCAGATTTATATTAAACTTCACCTGTAGTTTCCTTTTATGAAATCATTGCCAAAAAAAAGAATAGTGAATGAAGGAAGCTTAATTTTAATTTTAAAAATGAGATTTCCTTCCTAAAGAAAAAGTGGATTTCTGCAATAAAGATAGGGTCTGAGTCATCTCTTTCAGAACTCTAGTGTTTTGTGAAAAATCAGTGCAGTTTAGTGTGCCATTCCTTGGCATAGTGCTGAACCTGCCAGTCTTCCCAGCTGAATTGTCTAGGAGCATGGAGAGCATGTACTGAAAATGTGTCTCTCTTTTGTGGAGCACAAATTAGGCATGTCTTTTGGAAAAAACCTTTATCTATCAACTTACTGTACAGGACTACTGAGTTTCTAAAAGGGAATTGTTTTCCCTTAGAAAGTCTGGGCATGTTTTCTAACACAGCTGGAGTAGTGCAAACTGGTAGTGTGTAATCTAGGTAGTGCAATGTCTGTATACACTTAGGTGATTCAACAATCTCTTTTCCATCCAATGTTCCAGTTTGTCTTCTTTACCATTCGGTGTTAAACTATCAAGAAGACAGTCTAATTTCTTCTGGAATTCTAATTCATGACTGACTTTGGATTTGCAAATACTAAATTAAGACTTTCCCTCCCTGGGATCCATGGACGTCTGTTATTAGAGCTGCCCTAATCCTGATTGCCTGTTTTTCCAAACTGTATTTGACCTGTTGTATTTTGAGCCTGCTAGCCATATTTGTCTGCAAGGTCTCGGCTCTGTTTGATCAGAGGTGTGCAGACAGACTGTCATAGCCTTATTACCAAAGGAAACAAGGAAAAATGTGCCACAAGTTACGGAATGTCTTCAAAAAGATCTTTTAGATTTACTGACTTGCCAGTGTTTACATAAAGGTACAGAATGCAATATTTAAATTTAATGATTTTAGCAGACTTTATTAATTAAATTTTATAATCAGTGCAAGTGGAGTATTTCATTGTGCAACTGTGCAACTGTGTATTTCATTGTGCAACTGGGGGTCTCCTCACTCTAGGACACTTATTCTAGCACTACAAGGAAACTGTAGCAATTTGCTGCATTTTCCATCCAAAGATCTGAGTGTAATTGCAAGCACTTTAGTGAACTAACCCCTTGTAGGGTTTAATTCCTTTCTAAAAAGGAAAGATGAGTGATTTTTGCTGTCCTGCACCAAGCTAATGATATTGTTACTTTGTCTTCAACCAGTGTTCCATGACTACTTCTAGGTATTTTCTCGTCAGAAATCCTGTGTCAAGACTTCGTTAGTTTTTTGAATTGTTGCTACATGTGTGAAAGCAAACTGAAGTGTGTTAATTCATACTCTCAAGAGTTAACACAGAGCTCTAACTGTGCAGCAGTATCAGTAATGTATCTTGAAAATGATTGTTTTGGTTTATTAAAACTCCAGTAGAGAGTTAGGCCTTTTCAGAATGATCTTCTTGTAATTAAAATGTAACACTCCAAAATCTGGAGGTTTTAGTAGCAGTGACACCCGCTACTTAACAGTGCCCAGCCAGTACTGTTCAGGGTCCCTGGTTCCAAGGTAGGATCTATGAATGTTAATAGGTACTACTTCACAGCTGGTACTGTAGATCAAATGGATTATAATCTGAAGGCAATTTCACTGTTTTTCTGTAGGGCAGAAATTCCCAGAGTATAGCCTTATCACAGATCAGCAATAACCAAGGCACTCTATAGATATCACTCTCTGTCAGTGGTCTCCATGTTTGGAGAGTCAATGGAGCTTAAAGTGCATATCCTTTTTCCTTGCCTTTTGTAGCAGGAGTCCAGTCCTCTTGATTTGATAGTGTTCCATTTTGAAAATGTTACTGTGCCTGTTCCTTATACTCACACAAATTATTTATTCAGGCTGTTCCCAGTCTCATAGGAAATATCCTCTGAATTTTAACTACCAGTTGTTATTTGCTTATTGTTTAGATATTTATTAATCTGTCCCCAATTTTTTGTGGCAACCACTTAAAATAGAAGGGTTTTGTTCTGATATGCAAAAACACGTTGTAAGAGAAAAATTCTGTAACTACTTTAAAAATGTTAATTCCAACAGAAAAATAAAAGGTTTGCTGAATAAGAAAGAGAAAAAGTCCCCTAGAGAGAAAAAAAAGGGTTTATTTTTTTTTTCTTTATTTGGAGGCCTTGCTTTTATAGCAAGGCAGGTAAATTAGATAAAGGATATAATATATTGCAGTTGTATCAAAAGTCAGTGCAAAAGGAGGAGGAGGAGTATGTGTAACTATACAGGTCCTGACCCACTAGGTGTCTTTGGTAGACTTGTCTGGCCCTTGTACTTAAACCACAGCAAAGGGAGGACAGGGCCCTTGATGTTGTTTATTTATATGTATAGGTGTCTATATTTGGAAAAATACAAGAGCTGAAATACAGGAATCAGAAACTCATAGAATAGCAGAATGGGTCAGGTTGGAAGGGACTACGGTGGGTCATCTGATCTGACCTCCCTGCTCAAGCAGGGTCATCCCAGAGCACATGGCACAGGATTGTGACCAGATGGTTCTCCACAGGATTGTGACCAGATTGTGACCAGATTGTGACCAGTGAGGGAGACTCCACAACCTCTCTGGACAATCTGTTCCAGTATATGGTCACCCTCACAGTAAAGAATTTCTTCCTCATGTTCAGGTAGGTGTCATGTGCATCAGTTTCTGCCCATTGCCTCTTGTTCTGTTGATTGGCATCACTGGGAAGAGTCTGGCTCCACGCCCTTGACACCCTCTCTTCAGATACTTATAGACACTGATGAGGACACAGAATCTCAGAACACTCAGGGTTAGAAGGGACCTCTGGACCTCATCTAGTCCAACCTTCCTGCCAAGGCAGGATCACCTACAGCAAGTTACCCAGGAAACCCAGGTGGGTTTTGAATGTCTCCAGAGAGGGAGACTCTACCTTCATGGGCAGCCTGTTCCAGTGCTCTGCCACCCTCAACGTAAAGAAGTTCCTCCTCATGTTCCAGTGGAGCTTCTTGTGTTTTAGTTTATGGCCATTGCTCCTCATCCTGTTGTGGGGCACCACTGAGAAGAGTCTGGCTCCATTGTCTTAACATCCACCTTTGAGATATTTATCTGCATTAAATCAGAGAGATCCCCTCTCAGCCTTCTTTTCTCTAAACAGGCCCAGCTCCTGCAGTCTCTTCTTATAAGAGAGATGCTCCAGACCCCTGATCATTGTTGTGGCCCTCTGCTGAACCCAGCAGAGCCCCATGTCTCTCTTGTACTGAGGACCCCAGAACTGGACACAGCACTCCAGATGTGGCCTCATCAGGGCTGAGTAGAGGAGGAGGATCACTTCCCTCAGCCTGCTGGTCACACTCTTCCTCAATGCACCCCAGCACATCTCTGTAATTGCAATGAGACTCAAAGCCCTGTGGCTGCACAAAGATCTCTTGTTCCTCCTGTTTGATCCCCATACTGTGTGCATTGGTGTATAAGCACTTTATAGAAGTATTTGATTGTGTCGATATCCCAGTGGGTGTGCAGAGGGACACCCCTAAGTCCTGTCTTGTGGTTACATCTTTGGGTGCTTGTACTCACTGGAGGTATCCCCTCGTAAGCCTCCTTTTGCTTCTTGGGTGGTCACTGTAGTTTTTATCTTCCCACACCTTATATCTGTTGAGCCTGGCTCTATCTCCATCCCTCTTCAAACCTAGTTTAAAGTTCTCTCAATGAACCCTGCTGGCTAAGATCCTTTTTCCGCTTTGAGACAGGAGGATCTCCTTTGTTGTCAGCAGACTCGGTGTCATATAAACTGACCCATGTCCAAAAACCCCCAAATTCTGCTTGTAACTCCAGTCTTGAATCACACCTGTGAATTCTGTGTGATTTTCCTGTTTCTTGCCCCATCATTCCCTGAAACTGGTGCAACAGAAGAGAACACAACATGTGGTCCAGATCCATTGACCAGTTGTCCCAAGGCCCTGAGATCCCTCTTGATCATCTGCAGCCTTTTTATTGGGACTTTGTTGCTACCCACTTGGAAAACCAGTAATTGGTAATAATGAGTGGGCTGTACCAGGCTGGGAAGTTTGTTGTGATGTCTCTTACCCAGGCCAGAGGGAGGCAACACACCTCCCAGTGGGTTGGGTCTGGCTGGCATACTGGACCCTCCATTCCTCTCAAAACAATTGCTACTACCTTTCTTTTTTTCTAATTCAGGAGGTCATGATGGGGGAGGTAGGCTGCCCTGCCCTGGATGATCTGTCCAATCCAGATGGACTCTCATTCACGTTCTCATTTCCCTGGCTCTGAGATTCCAGGGTCTCATGCCTATTGTGTAAGGGCACCTGGGAAGGTGAGGTAGTTTGGGAGGGGATTCACCTGCCACTCCAAGGAGAAACCTGTTTCCACTCACCTCGGTCTCTAAGGTCCCCTCCTTCTGCCTGGTGTTGAGAGGGTGGGGATCCATTGCTTCATATGAAGTGGACAGTTGGTGCATGGTAGAGTGTGGCTCCACCACTCCATCTCTTCCTCAGAGTCCCTAATACTTCTTATTCTTTCTACTCCATCTTTCAGCTCTGCCATTAGGCCAAGCAGATCATTGACCTGATTGCATTTCACATAACTGTTCTCTCTGCTGCCCTCTGAGAGCAGCACCAGGCTGTGGCACTTCTACAGCCTCTGACCTGGGCCCCTGCATGGTTTCGTGAGTGCTCTGTCTGGATCACACTGTCCTTTGTGGTGTGTGCACAGGAAGCAACTTTTGTCCAAGTGGACAGTGCACCTGAGCTCTCTCAGGGAGAGTGATGATCACCAACTGAGCTAAGTGCTCGAGTTGGCAGCACCTCAGTGCCCTTCCTGCTTGCCCTGCCTGTGCAAATGGCATCACGGTGCCCTGGCTGGCATCCAATGCCCTGTTTGCCTGCTCTGTTCATCGTTCTTCTGGTTGCTTACCCTCCCTGGGGGACAGCTTTAGTACATGTGGGGTAGGCACTGTCTTTGTGCTGCCACCCATGCTGAGTCAGAGCTGCAAAAGGATAACCTTTTTATGTCTCTGTGTCATCATATTTCTAGTTTCCAGTTCTGTTTCCATGCCAGAATAAAGAGTAAGGGCACAATAAGAAGTAAGATAAAGTAGTTTTGCTAGTAGCACCTGATTTTTGTTAAGATTTCTTGGAGTCAGTGAAGCTCTGCAACCCAGTGAGGTGCCTGTCAAAGCTCAAGCACCAAAGGAAAACAGCTTGCCAATGTTTAGGAAGAGAAGTATGTGTCCTTTTCAAAGACTGTGCTTTTAAGCTTTAAAGAAAACACTAGAAACAGTGTGTTGTAAGACAAAAGAAATGATTAGCCAATAAAAGCAAGAAGGTATCTTTTCTTACAAAACTTTTACATTTCTGAAGTCAGAGATTGTCTTATTTACTTTTGCATGTTACCATATGACCGTAAGCACAAAAACAAGCGTTAATTAGCCAGAGCACTGAATGTTGGTATTGCTGCCAAAGAGCCTTGCAGGGATCACAGTTTGTTTACTTGGATATTGGCGTTTCACCTGTGATGGCCAGAAACCTAAGATATTTTCTAAATTCAGCTTACTTCTTCTGTTCCTTCCAGTCATGCTATCAGGGTTTTTATCTATAAAAATCAAACACTGTAAATAATGCAGTAGCACTGAAAGTATTGTACATGTTCATACTTAATTTTAGCATTAAGTGACGTATGTGGCCTGTAAATTGCATTTTGAAATTAGTATGTCTTTTAGTGGCCTACTCTATTTTTGTATCACTTTAAGTATTTTAATAGAATTACAAATTGTTTCACTCCTAAAAAACTGCTAAAATATTTATTTGGTCAAAGACATTTTGAACTGACATTTTGACTAAGATATAGTGTAGAGGCTTCCATTTTCATTCTAGAGATAGGTGTATATTTTTTTAATTCTGTTGTGCTTGCAGGATGGAGGAGGGAAAAAAATTAGGGTACTGCCCTCATCACTTGCTTGGAACATGTACCAAGTAAAACACATGAGAATGTGGCTGGATGATATCGTTTTACTTCTCTTTTGACCACTGCTAGCAGGAATAATATCACACCATTTTAACAAAAATATCTGTAGCTCTAAGAGAGATATCTGAAACTTAGCATAATCCTCAATTTTCTTCATCATATGGGCTTGTCATTCCATCCATGTTTTCCTTTTTGTGACCATGGACTGTAAATGGAGCATACGCATTTAACTTGATCTTGTGAGTTCTTTGTGAACAAAGCCTAAAGTTTATTACCTCCTAGTACCAGTGGATCCTGTTTAACTGTAGTCACCTTCCCCCAGTCACAAAGGGCTCTCATGCCTCAAGTCTCTGAGGTGACTTAGAGCTCTCAGCATAGTGTCTTGATTCCTTTACAAGAACTGCAGTCTGCATAATCTAACCTTAGTCCTGGCATTCCATGACTTGTTAGCATCTTCAGTTTGCTACACCAGTTTGATATTATAAGTCTCCCTCTTTCCCTGTTTCAGGACATATAGAGGAAAATAAAAAATGTTCTGTAACTTGGAAAAACTGTAATGGCACTAGTCAAAATAAAAATATCTGTATTACATTGTTCCTTTGAAAACCCAGTTCTTTATGAGACGTAATTAATCTGTGAATATATAAGTAGGGGGTTGATTACAAAGTAATTAAGAGATCACCTTTACTTCCCCTTTTCCAGCTGCTGCCAATCTGTCAAGGTTTATGTTCCAGGGTCTTCCTTATTTTTTTTTCTTTCCCTTACGCTAACTTTCTTTCTGCTTTGTTGAGCAATGTTCTTTCTGAAATTGGAGGGCATAATTGCTAACTGTTAAGTCAACTCATAAAACTGTATTGTGGACAACCAGGTGCTTTTGGACCTTGTGTACTGCAGTAGAAGTGGATTATCATCAGAAACCAGGAATCTGTTTGTAGCTGAAGATTGTGAAAACTTTCCTTGTACTATTGATTTGTTTTCATCTCTAACTGTTTACTAGAAGAGATACTGTCATCATCATTAGTAATAATTTTTGTCCTTTAATGTGTGTTATTTGAATGTGAAAAAATTAATTTTCTTCTTTTTTAGCTTTTGTGTTAGTAAAAATGATTTTGTTGCTTAAAAAAAAATCTTATTGTTAATATTTCTTCTGGCTTTGTTTGTTTGTTTTTTTTCTGTTTTATCCCAGGAATACCACGAAACAGCAGAGAAAAATAAGGGAAAAGTGCGTGTCCTTGAAAAAAGTCAGGAGAAATTGGCCCTTGAAAGTGTTTCTGTGAAAAATACGTTAACACAGTTTCAGAAGGAGCATTCATCTCTCTTGGCAGCCTGTGCGCTATTGGCAGGTGCCCTGTATCCTCTCTATGGCCAATTGTGTGCTATGTCTTCCCAAAGAGACCTTCTCCAGGATCAGGTCAACATTTATGAATTAGTGAACCAGAAGATTAGGACCCTAGTTCATGCTCTATCTGATGGTGAAGAAAACAGTCAAAATGAAGTAAAAATAAAGAAAAGAAAATTTCAAGGCCTGATTTATGTATTCCGAAGAGCTGTAATTGCAGTTTTGGCAGCTAAGAGACTTAAAGTTTTAGCCCAATCTTCTAGTTCCCTCTTCATCTGGACAAATGGCTTAAAAGAAGGCATTGGAATTCGAGTTTATGTAGGAGAATCTAAAGGCAAGCATAATCTATCAAGTATTCATGGTTAGAGAATAACATATAATAATATTACTATTAATGGAGTGTAAAGACAAATTTAATGACATTTTGACAAATGTTATTTCTGGATTTGTGATTTTTAGAGTACTTGACAAATGTAATTTCCCCTAAAAGGAAATGCTTAGGCTGTTAAACATTGCAAATAAAGTTGCAACTACAGATGTGAAGTCACACTGTTTGATATCCTTGAAATTTGTGTTATGGATTTCAGAACTAGGTACATCTCCTCTATGTGGTAAATATCTTGAAATGTTCCTACATTATTAATCATCAGCATATTTTTTGAAAAGGTATATCCTCTTATTAATAACTTGTAATGTTTATTTCTTACTGAAAAATGCAAAAAAATTGCTTACTGATTCAGGTAAGTACTAGTGTAGGATTTCTAAATTTTCTTTAGAGATTATGTAGTCTTTTTGTCACTTTCTGTTGCCAAACCAGCTCATGTTTCCCCCTGCAAGGAAAAATGGCATAAAAAATGTTTTCCAAACTAGAAGATTGATCTACTTTTCTGTTTTAGTAGTTCTGGAAGCATATTTAATACAGTCTAAATTGTTCTGAAAGAAGAATTAGTCTTTCCCTTATGTACTTAGTCAATGTCTGAAAAAGCTGGGGATAGTAGTGCCTTATCTAAGTTATTCAGTTATAATGTTGCTAGGTACAATTCTGTTTCACAGGTTGTGAAGAGGAAGAGCTTAACTGTGTTGAAGAACTCAGCTGGTTTACTAGTTCTAACCTCCTTGCTGCGATAATCGGTTCCGTCACTGAGTTGCAGGATGTTATTAACAAACCAGGTAATTTTAAAAGTATATTCTTGTAGTAGAAGATTAAAAAACATCATTTGCATCTTTAGGATTTTACCTAAACTATTTTGGATCAAATCTCCTGAGACTTACAGTGTTGGAACAAATTAGTTTTCTTTAGTTGGTGATATCATACTTTATCCTTTTGATATATAGAGTCATGGGAACAGAAGGTTGAAGAGTGCTTTTAGAAGTATGTAAACAGTCTCAATTGACACACTTTATAGCAGTCCTTATTTTATGTCTCTGTTGTGTTCCCTCCCTAAGTTTATTTTTAATTAGATTTGTGTCTATATTCCCTAATTTTCTCAGTCTGTCTTTGTATAGAATTCTACTCTGCCTATGGAAAATTGTAGTGTCAGTTTCTTGAAATGTCACCTTGTTATTCCCAGCTGTTAACTATTTTTCTTAATTTATTTGCAGTGAGAACTGATATAAGGTTTTACTTGGTTCATCTGCATTGCTGCCATCCTTAGTTCTCTGGTAACTTGTAGTTTTAAAGTACCAACATTACTGTCACAGAATAAAGGATATTAAAGGAGGGGTAATTTATATGAATAAAGGGAAACAGTAGAACAGAGGGAAGATGATTCATTTCCCAGAAGCCTAGACAGTAAACTGGTATTAGAAGACTGCCATTGAATCAAAAGTGTTTTGATTCAATTTCAGGTGCTCTCTTAGATCATCCTGTTCTCAGTAACTTAAATTTACATCCTTACAAAGCAAAATTTGAACCCTGTTTCAGAATATTTACAGGGTTTATCATGCAAGTGTGCCTGTGTATAGAGTGTTGTGTAGGAACAGCAAATTGAAAAAGAATCAAGACAAACTCATCAGCAGCACAGATGTGCTGAAGTGACTAGTTAGAATACCGTAAACATCATGATATTTTGCCAATTGGAAATATGTGAGAATTCTGGTGGGCTCAATTTATTAGATATCTCTGCATTCAACGGAGGCTTGATTTTTGAGAATTAGGAAAAGCCAAGCTCAGAATGTTATGGCCACAGTCAGTTTGGTGACTCTTTCATATCTTATCTCTATTTAAAGTTATTTGCACAGAACCTCAAGGTCTAACTGCTTGTGTGTTACTTGGAATTCTGTTCCTCCTGAGATCAAAAGTCTCCTAGGAATCTTTGGTTCAAAAAATAGTAATAAATAATTTAAAGTTTGACATGAAATTTCCAGAAGTATTGGAGTAATTAGGCTCTGAAGGAATAAATTAGAACGAGAGCTTCCACACTTAGAAAATTATTTTATGTTCTGTAACTAATATTTTAAGTAGGACTTAAACCTTCAAACTGACATAAAAGAATTTGGAATTTTTTAAAACTGTAAATAGGCATTCGGAGAGGCATCTGGTCTCTTCAGATCTTTAAATAATGACAGTTCCAGATTAGACTGCACATCACAGGAGAAAGTAGGTACAAGAAGGTGCTATCTATATCAACAAGATGGAATGGTTCAGTGTCTTAAAAATTATGTTTAAAAATGCCTAGATTTTGAAGAGACATTTGAGGCAGTTGAAAGAAACCAAATCCAGATCACTCAGATAATACTGGAACATTTAGGCTTGTGCGTCCTGGTGATTCGAGTCACATTTCTTGATCTTTTAACTTTTAAATATGTGGTTTTGCTTTGATATTGATGTTCACTTCCCTGCATAGTGTTTGTTAGTTTGGTTCTCATTCTAACATGTCTTGGAATGATCTCTTAGCTTCAGTTTCGATACAACTTCATTACAGTGTTGGAGTTTTTTGGTTTTTCTTTGTTTTTTTGTAAGGTTAATTTTCTAGGTTTGTTAGAACAGCATCTGTACTGTGATAAACCAGAGAAAGTAAAGGCCAAGATTTTCAATATGTATCATCAACTGTTACATATGCAAAACTTTTGAAGCTTGACATGAACATTCTAGTCTTTCATAGTACTAAGTTAATCCTGCTGACTGTTCAATTTCAGCAAAACAGAGTAAACAAGAATTGTTTTTTTATGTCAGTGAAGTAAGATTTGACACTTTTCATTGTCTTTTTCTTCATTTATTTTATATGACTTAATTGCTTTTTGTGATATACATTTATTTGTGTTACTTAATTCTGATACTCATCATAATGTACATAATTTAATGGTTTTATTGTAATTCCTTTTTCCTTCATGACAAGTACGTAAAATGTATATATTTAAACAGTGTATTCTCTTCCCAATTATTATGGATACAGTTCCTTGTGGAATTGTATTAAATTCTCATTTTGTCTTTCAAAGCAGTCAGTAACTTACTTCAGCATATTTCTGTGTATTTACTCCAAGCTATTCTTCATTAAAAAAATAGAGGAGATAACGATTAGTCCCTATCCCAAGAAAGTGCCTTAAGTTGTGGATGCTGAATTCTACTGAATAGTGGGAGTCCTGATTGTGAAGTAGAATAATCATTTCAAATTGCTACTACACATCTGTGTGAACTGTTATTTTAGATTTAAGGTGAGATTCTAGCCATAGGGAAAGGGGCTGCCATGCTAGGTGCTGCACATATGGAGAAATACTGTGTTTTCTGACAGGCAGACAATCTTATAAACTGAGAATAGCAAGTGGAAATACTAGGAAAAATGATGGAACAGTAGCTCACTGGTGGTGTCCTTGTTTTGATATTTATCAGAAATCATGGCAGAGTTTTTTACATGGAAAACCATATAAATGTTCTAGTTTTAATTTTAGATTAGTTTCATTAAACATTCAAACTGATGAATGTATCATGACTGGCGTAAAGAGAGGGTCTTTGAAGGTGACTGACAACTCTTACAGGATAATCTGTGATAAGAGGTGAATTGAGGAAGGTAGCTTTTTCTTTTTTTGTGATCAGTAATAGAGAACTAGCATAAGGAAAAGAGAGGACTCTTGGCCAAGGTAGACAGAGCATTACAATAGGAGGTTTTTTTCTGGGTATGAAAAGAATGTGTTTTTTTTTTTTATTTCAAAGGATGTATTGTTAGTTGAAGTGCAAGATAAAAATGCCTCATAAGATTTTTAACTTTAAAGATGAATAGAGAGAATGCTATAGTCATGAAGAAAAGACAGATCTACTAGTAGATTATAGAAAATGTGTATTCAAAAATGATACTCCATTTGAGCACTGGAATAATTGGAATGGTGGTATTTCAAAACCAAGCAGGAGAATAACTCTAAAAATGGAATATTTGACTTTATCAAGTGCTTTTCTTTTTGTTATTTGCTTATAGATAAATTTCACCTTGTGTAAATGATCTTTATGGTGAAAATTGTAATATAAAAATGTTAATAAGCATGTTTTTGTGCTTTTAACCTTTGGCTTTTTTTCTTCACAATCTTTAAAAAAAACTTTTTTAACTTAAGCTGTGGTTATTTTTTTCTGCTTATAGTCTTAAGTAAATACTTTAGTTCACTGCAGCAACAGGAGATCTGCTGTACCACTGAATGTAAATAAGCTCTTCCATGCTTGTCATCTTACACTGATAGTATCATAAGACAAGTAATGACAGATTAAGACCTGCCTAGCTGAGGGAAAACTAAATTACAAGACTTTTATTAAGGCATAAATAAACCTATTAACTGTTATCTGGAATACCAATTAGTGGAAGGAGCACTGACAATTTTATTTATCAACATTAAACACAATTATTAATTACAGACCTGACGAATCTAGCAGTAAGCAGGACATGTTGGGTGTGCTGGGGCCTTAAGTCCATTATATGAGAAGGATGATTACCAAAATCCTATGGGAAAATAAGTAATTGTAGCTGTAAAATTTTAATTGCCTTGGAATAAGGTAAATTATATTCTCTTGTCTCAGAATATAAATAGTACTGTGTTAAGGTACCAAGCCTCACTAATTTTGAACAGCAAATGACTTAGACATCTGTAGAGGGGAGGGAGGAGGAGCCCGGAAACCCTCAGAAATTTGCATTGTAAATATTGCGATAAAGTGACTTACCATGTGCTATCACATCTGACTTACTTCACCTGACTTGCATTTACATGAATTCATCTTGCATGTTTTCTGAATTACAAAATTAGAACACCAAAGAAAGTCTTAAGAAAGTATAGTATTGGGGAAGAACATGGTAACAACTGAAAAAATAGTCTTTGGCAAACGAATCCTATTCTTTAGAATCCTATCCTACCCTTCCATTCAAAAAGTGATAAGAGTAGAATTTTCATTGCTAAATACACAATTTGTCCTGTGTCTCTCTGAGATATACCTGTGAACTCAGTCTTCCAATCTTTAATAGAAATTTCCTACTGAATATTTTAAAGATACTATTTGTTGTTGCTTTTTTTTTGCTGAAAGAAACTGAAATTAATAACCTACTTGATGTTTCTTTTTTTGTTTGTTTGTTTTTTGTTTGTTTGTTTTTGTTTTTTCGTTTGTTTTGTTTTTTGTTTTTTGGGTTTTTTTAAGATACAAAGTCCTGGCTTTCTGGAAAGTTACTTGTAAGTGCAGCCAGGAACTCCTTTTCAAAACTTATGGACAAGCTGAATGTAATAATGGAGACGGTTCCATTAGACCACAGCAAGTGCATTATTTATCTGGAGAAAGACTCTTTGGTACACAGTCTGGCTCATGGACTTCACAAAATAAATACCCGGGCCCTGGAAGCTGGATTGTGGGACAGACTATCCAGTATGGTATGCATATTTATTGTGCTACTTCATGTAAGCAGTAGATTCATAAAGTCTTATGATGAAGCTCCCTTGATAGTACCATTAAGTTTGTTTCAGATTGTTTATGAGTCTGTTACATTGAAGTCAACTATGTAGACATTAGAAGCTGATTCGTAACAGCTAGAAGCATTAGGGCATGGATAGTTCTTTTATTTTATTGTCAAAGAATTTTAAAAAAAGATTTGATGTATACAAGAAATTTTTTTTTTAAAGTTCTATCAAAACTATATTTGCTTTATAAGAACAAACTTGCTTGTGGCTTTCAGTGAATGTTAAGGTTCTTTTTTTTTTCTTTTCTGTTTTCTCCTGCTTGGTGTTCTGTCTTTCAGTAAAGATAACCTTCTTCCTTTTAACCAAAATGAAAGGATAAACTTTCTCAGATAATCAGTCTTTTATTGTGGGCTGTTTATGAAAATGTTACTTCCTTGAAAACAGAATTTTCAGTAACCCCTAAGAGTAGGTGATACAGATTCACATTTTTACACTCAGGTGTGTCTTTTAGAGATGGAGGACAAGATGAGAGCTTTGTCTACTTTGCTTGGGTATTATATGTGATTTAACTTATTGCTAAAATACATGGTACATGGTACATTAATTTATTTCTGACTACTCACAGAAAAACATAGAATCCCTGCAGGAGCAAATATTTGAATTTACACAAAGACTTCATACAGCAGAGGTGGAACGCCACTCACTGCGTCTACAACTTGCAGAATTCAAATGGGATTTCAGTGAGATGAAGAAAGAAGCTGACAAAGCCCAGGGCCTGCAAGAGCAATTAAATATGCTTAAACAAGTAGGTATATTTGATTAGAGGAGACTGCTTGTAAGAAATCCTTCTTTTTACACTTTTTTGGGGGGGGAGTATGTGTTCTTTTGAAAAACAAGTATAAAATCATTCTCCTAGTAAAAGAATTTTCCAGAGAACTTTCCTAATAATTGTCACGGAACTGGAAGTCAGATGTATTCAGAAATATCTGCCCTCCACAAGATTTTCTTTTTGATTTGTACAATGAATTATTCTGTGTAAATTACATGTTTGGTTTTCAGCAACCCAGGTTTTCTTCCGTATGTTTGAAATGTTGATGTGATTTATATACCTGAAAAGGATTTTTAGATTTCACTTCAACAGAGTAAAGTCAGCTGGAATGAGGGTATTCAATAAGTACGTTTCAAGAACTTTGCATGGATATTGCTGAATGTTATGATAGACATTTTGCTGTATCTTTGACTCTGGTTTATATCCTAAGCTAGTCAATACAAATTTTAGTGTGCCAAATTCCTCTGACTCTTGGCTATCACTGATGACTTTACTTACGTATTCACTAACCTCTAAATAGCACTGATGACAGGAGTGAGAAGACACAACAAAAAGGTTCCTTAACTGCTTGAAATCACAGTGTAGTGAGAAATGGATGTGGTGATTGAGGGACTGATGCCATTTGGTGGAGGGACTGATGCCATTGGGTTGTCAGTTTGATCCCTGTCATACTTTTGGAACTGTGCCTTCAATCCATGGAGAGAAAGAAACTTGTCTTGCTTTAGCATGCTTGAGGTTCATGAAGCACCTTTTCTACTAAGTGTATTTCCTATAGATTGTGTTCAAAACTGAACTCCCATTGGAGCTATTTGAGAAGGTGAATGGATAAGGATTCTTATACATGCTCTACAGGTGCACAGTATAACTGAAAGAGTTGTATCCCAGAATAGTCAGCATTTTCTGTAGCTGTGCCCAACATTGATACTGAAGTCTAGTTGGTAGAGCTGTCAGTGTATCCCAATCAAACACTTCCAAGCAGAGAATATTTAACAATTCATGTCACATCCATTCTCTTTTCTGCTCCTAGCTGGTAAAATGTTGGTTTTTTTTCAAACAAACAAGGTTATATCCAGTCATCTTCAGTTTTGCTCGTAATGGGTTTTATTTCTTACGGTTCTGGCACAGTTAGAGAAAATTGTCACAGTTTAGGTTTTCATTTAAGTGTGGACAACAATTTTCTTTAGAGAATTATTTCATCTTTCTGGAACATTTCTGGAAGGGAAGAAAGAGTCCAGGAAGATATTTACAAGGGTTAACAAAATATGCACTGAAATGTGGGACATTGATCTGCATATTTCCTTTGAAATATTGTTTCTTTACAACCTACAGTACTAATTTGAATGGAATCATGAATGCATACTGTTTACAGTAGCCTGAATGCTATTTTGAAAAAATACAGTGAATATAGTTGTCTGCCCTCTTATTGCCCCATGGTCTGTCTTTGAGTTAAAAAACCTAAACTAAATAATAATAATCTTTAGCATGCTTTTGTTTTAGAATTTGATATGTTTGCAAGTGGAACTTGGAAAGTCAAGCGTGTAAACAAGTGAACATAGCTACACAATCAAACACAATTTATTTCTCTTAACAGAAATTGATCACCCATGAGAAGTTTGAAAGTGTATGTGAAGAATTAAATAATGCATTGCATCGGGAGCATCAGGCACAATTGCTTTTGAATGAACAGGCACAACAGCTACAGGAGTTAAATAATAAACTAGAATTGCACGCCAGTGAAGAAGCAGATAAAACCCAAGTATTAAGTGAATCTGTAAAGGTAAGATGAATATTCATCTGAATTAGACACCTGAAATTTACCTTTTGGTAAAGAAACCAAATGTTGCAATTCTTGTGGAAATAAAATTAAAGGAGTAAATGCACACATACTACTTAGTCCATTGGAATTTCAGGGTAGTCAGAAAATACTTTCAAAATGATACTTAAAGGTATAATATCACTTCTCTGCTTTTGGAACTGGGTGGTGTACACCAATATATGTAGTCTTTGAAGTGTCTGAAATTTACAGGAGACATAAGAGACAGCAGTTCTAGCCATCATGAGGTGTTTGCAATTCATAGGAAAAATTAATGAAGAAATACAGGGTTACCTTGATTTTTGATAGAGATCATAATAGTATTTTAAAACCTGAATTAGCTGTTTCCTCAATGTAATCTCAGAGTAGAGAATGCATTTGTCAGTTTGAAATATGCTAGGTGACAATAAAGAGAAATCATTTTTCATCAGGATTTAGAATTTTCTGCAGACATAATGAGTAGTGAGGGAAAAGATGTTGTTATCAGAATCTCTGATAGCAAATGAAGGAACAGAGAGAGTATTAGAGGTTTGAAACCAGCTGGACATGTAACACGGGAAGAGAAGAAACTTTGTGATATCAAGCCAATATCTGGTGACCTAAGCTCTGCAGCTTTATTTATTTTTTATTTAAAGCAAGCTTTGCTGCTTGCATCTGCTCTTCATCCTTACTACTGTCTTTCCATTCCCCAGTATTCTTCTGTGACTTGACAACTGAGCAAGTAACACTTCTTCATCCATATTTTGAGAAATAGAAGAACTTGTGATTCTGAGGAAGATTTGGGGAGGAAGTAATAAGAAATGTCAAGAAGCAGGAGAAAAAAAAAATCAAGCTATGACACTAGCAGAAATCTCATAAACCATTGTTGAGAATATAGCAATGAAAATGGGTGTAAAGGAGGGTGACTTGCAGCAGAGTTGAGATTTGAAGTAATACACAGTGGAAGATGCTGAAGGATGTTAAATTTATTAAGGAGGGTTTTCATTACTGATATTATTTATTAAAAATGCCTTACCTAATGAAAGACAGTGACATTTCCTATTTACCAGTTGGGTTTTGTGGCTTTTTTTCTCTCTCATAATTGTCTAACTTTAGGTGTTTCATTTCAATGGAAGAATAAAGTTGTTTAATGTTTTACATCAGGTTGCTTTTTGATACTGTTGCTATTTGTTTCTGATACAGCTGCAGTATATATAAGCCATTAGTCTTGTATTTCTCAAAGAAATCAAACACTGATGTAAGATTTTTTAAGTAGATACTAGTATTGTACAGAAAAGAAGGAATAGAAGACAGATACTATTTGAAATCTTTATTGCAGTCTACTTTATACATTAATATGTGGTATTTCACCATGTTTTACTTCATGTAAAACACATCTTTTCATTTGTTCAGAATAAATGAAAAAGAAGTCAATTATAGGCAATTAAAATATAGTATGAAGTTTTAAACAACTATATTATATAGATTATTGGATATTGAATTAGATTTTGCAGATTCTGTTTCTTATTAATTAAAGGCTAGTTATAAACTCTTTTGAAACAGTCGTGATCCTAAAATGCATCCTATTTCTGCAATCCTTTAGCAGTTGTTTGCTGCTGGAATAACTTGGTTTAGTATAAAATGCTTGATTATTTCTGGAGCTTTAAAGATACAATGCAATGGAATAAAATAGCTGTTGTGATAGGATGGAGGCTAAGACACTTGACAAAATAAACCTTAAATTTGAAATTTACAACTTACAAGTACACCGATTTGGTTCATTACTTTATAATTCTTCATCCTTTCCATGGAGGAATTCTAAACCAAATTCGAGTTGTAAACTTGAGTGCTGTCCCTCGGTTAAGAGAGCTCTTAATTTCTTCATGAGGTTTACTTCAATAGTTAGCACAAAATTGCATTGTGGTTGTAGCAGCCTGTATCTGTGACTGTAACAAGCAGGGAGACAATATCACTCGTGGTAGTGTGGCAACATGGGTTCGTAATCTAGTGGTTCTTGATTTTTTTTTTAATCGTGCATATATGATTTTGTAATGTATACATCCTAAATCGTGATCTCGCCTTCAATTTTTATCGTTGCTTTTTACAGTTTCAAATCTGTGCTGAATAAGTACTTTTGAAATTCAAATAGCAGTCTAACATAAACTACTTTGATACCAAGGGGTAAAAGAACTATTTTTTTATTTTGAACTCTATAAGTTTCGGTTTTTAAAATTTAAAAAAAAAAAGTCTTTATTTTCTCTCCCACAGTATACCACAATCCAACTTTAATCATGTCTTTATTCATGACAGGCAGTAACGGTCTCTATCTTTGCCTTGGCATTTTAACTGACACACCCTTTTCTCCTAGCTACTTGGGTATTGTGACTTAAGATGTTTGGTTTTTTTGTGTGAGCGTTTTTAGCTTTCAGTTTGCAGTACAGTGAAACAATCACATCTTTGTAATAATCAACCTTGACCTTGTAAGACAGTGCTCTTACAATTGTGTAGGTTTTCAAGCTCTTAAATAATACAGAAGTATGAAAAAAAAAGAACTGTTGCACTGAAAAAAAGTAAAATATAAAAAATATGCCTCCATCTTTGTCTTAAAATGCAAAATAATCTATCAATCTAGACTAAGTGTATATAAAAATTTGGCGAATGTGGTGGTATACAAGTGAGTTCAGGTGGAGTACAGTAAGAATAATTTGCTTTGAATTATTTATTCATAATTCTTAACAGGTAAGAAAGGGAAAATTAAAATATTAGATACTTTAAGTTTTGATAGCTTATTTTTAAACTTGTTCACACTTAACAGCAATCAGTAAGGAGATATTTTGGTATTCATGTACTTTCATAAAATAGGCTTATTAAAGGAGTAATACTTAATTTCTTAGCTTTATCAGTTCAGATTTTAATCCTGTATATTTTTATCTTCATAATGGCATATACCACAGAGACATCCAAAGGAGCCAATTACATTCAAGGTCAGTTGGAACTAGCAACTCTTTTATACCACTTTTTTTTTTTTAGATGAGGTGAATCAGTAGTTCTGATTCCTCAGTCTTTGAAGAGAAACTTTTACACGAATGCTAAACAGGTATCAGTAACAGACATAATTTTTATTCCTCATACAAACTGGTCTTAATCCGGTAGAGGTATTTTTTATTTCCTTTTGACAGACGCTGTGTCTATATTTACTTCCTTTAAGGTATGTTAGTACCTGTAATAAAAATAATATATTTTTAAGGTTCTATTTATGGATCAAGTCCTACAGATTGTTAATTGCTCAAGTGCAATATATGTTAAATCATGTAACTTGCTACTGATATGCTTCAAAATAGTCTTCAGTACATGTTTTAGAAAACGGTGCCCTAAATATTGGGTTTGTTTAATTTGCTGAGTTTAGTGAAGCTGCCATTTATTTATGACAGCATAAGTGAGAAAAAAAATCTCAACCAAGTCCTTCAATAACAGTTATAGAAAAATGTTTTCTGATGGGAAGATTTGGAGTGTTTATTTTCAATAGCTATGTCATTCAAATCATTATATACATACTCTCTCTTCAGAAAATGTAGTATGCTTCGCTAAACAGGCATATCTGAATTCGTTAGATTCAGATCACGATTGGGATTTCTACGTTTGTCAGAAGTGGATGTTTTCCCTGAGCAGGCTCTCAGTTCTTGGGTGGATTTCAGGTGAAGGTGCTACACAATTTTCTGCTTTTCATTACTTTTCCTCTTCATACATTTATGGCCTCATATTTTTCCTGAAAAGCCATTTCAAATATATATACAATTTCCTTTATTAATACCATTACACACACACACTTTGTAAGTTAGTTTTATAGTTAACTATTTCTGACAATTCTAATCTATGGAAAGGCTAAAAGCCTTCACTTATATGAGGAAGACTGAGTGATTTTCATGTTTCTCAAGAAGAAGAGCAAAGACTGCAAGAACACTCTAAGACTGTAGGAAAAACTAAAAACAGAAAGAAGATTTTTTCTTTTTTAAATCTGATATCCTCAGTTGGAAAGATTGTTAGGACTTGGATGCACTGAGGGATACTGTTGATTCTGAAAACTTATCACTTTGCCAAGAAACTGCATTTCTGTGCATTGCCTGGTTAAATATAAGGCTGTTCTTTAAAGAAAGCTGTATAGCTGATTACCATTAGCATCTAATTTAACAGAGAATTTTTGTTAATGAAGTTTAGCATGTTAAAGAGAAGCAAGCTCCCCTCTGAATAGGTTAGAAACTAAAATTTGTAATTAATTAATGAAATGTGGGAGGGTTTTTTTTTTATTGTTCTGGTTTGTTGGTTTTTGGTTTTTGTTTTTTTTTTTTTTTTTTTTTTTTTTAGTTTCTGTATTTCTATGTTCTAAACACCTAAATAATTTATAAAGTAGGTAAGAATGGATAAGTATTGTCATCTGCCCTGTTCTTAGTCAAAAGAGGTAATGTGTTTTCTTAATACAATAAATTACAGGTTAAAGAGGATTGTCAGGTATTTCAGTTTGCATTAACGCTATTTGTAAAATAGGTAGACCTGTTCATTCTCCTTCTCTGTTACATTACTTTCACTACTACTAACTTCTTAGTCTTCCAAGAGTTGGGCTTCCTAGGCTTCCTTCTAGCATCTACTAGAAAGAGCAGCTAGTGAGATAGCATACATTGTGGACTGGACCTGAGAACTTTTCTTCACAAAGGGAAAAAGAAGACAATTGTGGTAAAGTCTGCTTTGTATTACTTAATCTGTATTTCAGATGTCTAAACTTAAACTTCATGTTAAATTTTGCTCTTCTATGGTTTGTCCATGGAGTTAGAATATCCTGAGTTGGAAGGTACCCACTAGGATCATCAAGTCCAACTCCTAACACTGCACAGGACAATCCCAAGAGTTATACCATATGCCTGAGAGTGTTCTCCAAATGGTCCTTGAACTCTGGCAGGCTTGGTGCTGTGACCACTTCCCTAGGGGGCCTG